AATTTGAATTAAAAAATATGAGAACTCTCTTAAGGTCAATGGTCAGTTGGTATGTACCGAGGTATGTACAGGGTGGGCCAAATTTGACACTTTTAAAGGGAAAGTCCTATTCTCGAACCAGATGGAAGAAAACTGATGTCGGTGCCTGAGGGTCAATTCTCATAAAAAACTCAATGGTGAAAACCACATATCGATATCAGCTGTCTTCCTTTCGAAGTACAAGGTGTTTTTTTTCGAAAATGGGCATTTTAAAAAGTGGCTTCAGATATTTTTTTTAGGGATCGACCGATACCGATATCGGTATCGGTATATCGGCCATATCGGAGTGTTTGGCCGATATCGGTATCGGCCGATATGAAGAGGCAATAGCGGCCTATATCGGTATCGGCTTAGTAATAATAAAATAAAATAGAATAGTCTTCAAAATGGTGTAACTTTTCACCTGAGAGAAAAAAAAACACAAAAACAAACCCCCAAAAAATATATTTTGTTTAAAATAATACATATTTACTCAAAAATATTGAAACACAAACATGAATTCTAAGAAAGAAAGCAAATATTGAACACAAAATATTCGAAAACAAACATGAAATTCTAAAAAAATACCTAAACTCATTTTTAATATTAAAAAATTAACAGTAATTCTGAAAAAAAAATACAAAACAAATATTATTATTTAAAATCAAGTTCCGGTGAATTATAATGTAATAAAATTAAATTTCCAGCTCTTTCAGGCGTTAGTCGATTTCTAGCGCTCTTGTATACGTTTCCAGCTGAAGAAAATAGCTGTTCGCTCGCAACACTACTGGGTGCGGGTGCTAAATATACAGGGTTGGCTTTATATATGGAACAATGTCGCTAGAAGGAAAACGGCTTGAGATATTATTTTGAAAATTAGTAGGGATGAATTGGGCAAACTTTCGCAGATTTAGACAGAAAAAAATTTTATTTTTTTGTTATAGTTTCTTGACACGTCCGCCATCTTGATTTTTTTTAAATGGCAACATGGGTCGTGTGACACATCGTTAGAAAGCTTATTTTTTTCTCTTTTCAATTGTCATCATATTCATTGGTTTTGATCATCGAATACTTGAAAAATATCAAGAAAATAAATGCATAAGTGAATATTATCTCTGTTGTGATTTTAATGAAAATAATGTTAAGTAGTTACTTACAAGTCGAAATTAACAAAAATTTAAATTATCTGATGAATTGTTCAAAATGTTGCCCGTTAACTTCTAGGCAATAACGTATACGATTTTCAAAACTTTGTACGGCGTTTTGTATCCAGTGAGCCGGAATGGAAGCAATCTCATCACTGATTCGAACTTTCAGATCGTCAACATTTTCAGGTCTATTTTCGTATACACGACTTTTGCAATGCCCCCATAAGAAAAAGTCCAGGGGGGATAAGTCAGGTGATCGTGCTGGCCATTCGATATTTCCTCGTCTACCAATCCAACGCCCAGGAAAAATCTGATTCAGGTAATTCCGAACTGTTATTATTTTCACACCTGTCAAAGCGCATAGACCTCTAGATTTCGAAATCACAACAGAGATAATATTCACTTATGCATTTATTTTTCTTGATATTTTTCAAGTATTCGATGATCAAATTCGATAAATATTATGACAATTGGAAAGAGAAAAAAATAAGCTTTCTAACGATGTGTCACACGACCCATGTTGCCATTTAAAAAAAATCAAGATGGCGGACGTGTCAAGAAACTATAACAGAAAAATGAAATGTTTTTCTGTCTAAATCTGCGAAAGTTTGCCCAATTCATCCCTACAAATTTTCAAAATAATATCTCAAGCCGTTTTCCTTCTAGCGACATTGTTCCATACATAAAGCCAACCCTGTATAATTGCCTTGGTTGCTTCTGGTATACACCATTTTAAATATATTTTTCAAGGGAAAAACAATACTTTAAATTTTTGGCCGATATATCGGTATCGGCCGATATCGGCCATGCCTATATCGGTATCGGCCTTAAAAAATCATATCGGTCGATCCCTAATTTTTTTTGCAAAAACTGCCTGTTCTCATGAAAATAACTGCAAAGCATTGAGTTTGTGATAAAACAAGTTCTTTTTTGAAACTAGGTACACGCTGACTGATTTCATTGCCTGAGGATCAATTTTCATGACAAACACAATGCTTTGGAAATGTTTTCAATTCCATGAAAACGAAGAATATTTGCAAACAAAAAGTTTTTACCACTTTTCAAAAATTCACATAATCGAAAAACACCTAGTAATAGGCACTGACATCAGTATTTACTATCTTTTACGGGAATAGGACTTTCCCTTTAAAAGTGCCCAATTTGGCGCACCCTGTACATACATACCAATGAAATACATGACTGTACTACAACTCAATTGGATAACCCTGCCTTTCAACAAAATGGACATTTGCAAAAAATTGTTTCAATAGAAATGAATTTTTTTTTATTCCACAGAGCTTGTCAAGTTGAATTCAAAAATATTCAGTTTATCTCATTTCATTTTCAACTACCCTCGTATTTCGGAGAAGAATGAAAAATATCACAAAAATGAGGAAATTGATTGCATTGTCTTTGCTCATGTCTCAAATACCCGAATACGAAGTTTCATCAGAACACGTCAGAACATTAAGTACAGGGTGGATCAAATCGAAAACTTTCGATGGAAAAATCCAATTTTTAGAACTTGATAGATAAGAATATGGAATAACTGATATCGATGCCTGACGGTAAATTTTTATTACAAACTGAATGGTGAAAACCCGAGTGAAAACCACATATCCATCTATTGCATATTGACTAAAAGATATAGCCCAAAATAAATTTCAAATTTTCGTAGCCATTCTTTCTTCTCTACACGTTTTTCCGTAACCATCATCAAATAACACTGATGATGATTTTTATGTCCAAAACGTTGAATAATTGTGAAGTGCAATATGTCGTTGGATTCAGAATTAGAATTAGAGTTTTTAAGGCAAAGATAATTTTTTCGACCATTTGAAAAGTTGATGATGTCTCCTTGAAGACAACACGTCATATTACAAAACTATTGATACCATTGGGTAGAGCGCAAAAGTGTCAATGATAATATGAAACTTATTTTGTCATATTACTTCAAATGAAGTCAGAAAAATTAAAAATTGAATCGCGGATATACGGTTGTTTCAAATAAGTATCTTCGGAATTTTTTTTCGGAATTTCCAAACTTTTGAGGCGGCATTTTGATCAGCATCAAATTGCGCAACTTTTTCCTATTTTAACCGACTTTGTATCTGATAGGGTGGCAGAAATCCCAATGATACCCCTCGAATTTGGGACACCCTGTACATGAAATACATGCACATCCTGTATGAGTATCAAGCTCTGCTGAATTTAAAAAACAGAATGGGTCTTCATATTAAAAAAAAATAGTCCACCCTATATTCTGTTGACAATAATTACGAGACTTACCTAAGGGGGGGGGGGGGGGGGTTAGTTGATACCATCAAGTGGGACACCCGGTACCTACTCATTTATCTGGTCCATTTTTGTGTATCATTCGAAATATTAGTTGTCTATAAAAATAATATTGTACAAAAGTTGAAGTCATTATTCACATGAGAATTACCATTTTCACTCAAAAATATTGAAACTCTTTTTTGGGACACCCTGTATATGTATATCTCAGCAAGGGGTGAGTATTATGTATTATGTATATCCATCTGCCATATCTTTGCAACATATATTATGTATAGGTATACCTTTATTATAAAATTTCTTGCAGAAAAATTATCAAAACAAACCTTGTTTTTGCGAAAAAAATTCATTGCTGGAAACAAAATACCGACATTGAACGTGAAAATCCAGAGCCTCTCATAATAAAGGTGCGAAGAAGATGTTATAATAAATAATATATGAATACTATGGTTTATAATTAGCTCTAGAAATGAAATAACAAATACGTCCTGGCAAAAATCTGATCAAGATTTACCAAGATAATTGAATTCAGGCAGGGCAGACGGTTTAAAAATAACAATTATTAAAATAAACATTATATAAACGCAGGCCTCGCCATGTTTGTTAACCCTTAAATAAGGCAGAAAAAAATGTTACAACAAAAACATTATTCACACCACTATAATACAGATTTCTAAACATCTCACTGTGACAACCCATAGAAAATACCTTAATCTTCAGCTCAAAACGCCCAAACACTGCCGACACTAGTAAAAAATCTCATAAAATCGATAAAAAGTTTTAATGCAAAATGTATCACTTAAATAATTATGTTGCTTAGCAGAAATCATCTAAGACATGGGTTCATCGCAAAAGTAGCTCCAAGAACACACGTTAGAAATATGTAAGAAGAGGAACGTACGTCTATGCTTGATACAGCGTTATACAATATTTACTCGGTTTCTCGCTGGGGGTGTACGATGATTTTAAATATAAACAAGGTCGATTTTTCACAGATTTATCACTGAAAGCACAAACGCACTCACCAAATTTTGTGCAAGACCATTTGTCTTTGTTTCAAACACTTCCAAACGACAATTTTCTTGTTAAACTGAAAACATGGTGGAGAATTAAAGCAAGATATTATTTATAGATTTTCATTGCCGCCATTTGCAATCTGCCGGCTTGGTACAGTCCGCTCTAAAAACTTCGGAGGGTAAAACGAGCAAATAAACCGTTCCCGGTTTTATTTCGAAGCAGACAGCAATAAACATGATTGTTTAACAAAGAAACGAGAATTTCGATGTCCCACAAGACAAAGAAATTAGCTGCAAGGCTGTGAAGTTCACAGAGATCGAGGACTTTATTATTCCATCGAAAATTACTTTTAACTGGGAGTGTACTGTAAACAAATGCTCAGTTGCTCACAAGGGCGGCATCTATAATTTACATAAAATTGGGGAGTGCGTCATAAAAATTTATTTAAAAAATTAGATGAGTCATTATTTTCTCCCTCTTGCAAGTGCCCTTGGTATAAAGAATGAAATATTATGACATTGTTTGGTTGGAATTTATTATAGGTATCTTTATTTATGATTCTATAACCATAATAACACTGCAAATATAATATTAGGTACATACAAAAAATATAGAGGACATAAAATTTCAATCTGTGGATATCAATGTTCATTTAACTCTCAGAATTTAGTACATGTAGAAGTCTTTTGCAATATTCCTCTTCTTCCTGGCATTCATCCTTATTTCTGACATTAACAATATATCTGTGGAGCAAATCTTTCAAGTTGAAACTGGAATTTCTACATTCAGCAATGGCATTTTGGTTATCTTCAACTAGGCAAACTAGAAGTGCTAACACATGTTCATGACTAGGTGATCTTTCCATTGAAAAAAGATCTATGAGTGCTGAAACATAGCCCAGAGTAATCAGCTTATCTAAAAAATAGTCAAAAAGAGGTAATAGTGGAAACTCTTATCCCAGTAAGTTCTTACTTTTGACTTCTGTTGTAGATCTACAAACAGAGGCCAACAAAAAACATGCCTTTATGATGAACTTTTCATTGTTTTTCTTCAATGCATTTAGTAGCACTATCAAGCCATTATGTTCAACTAATTCATTGAAACATTCTGAATTATCTCTCACAATACCTGGAAATCAATGAAAATATAAAATTCCCACTCACATATCAAGAATAAACTGATACTTACTGCTTAATCCATAAAGTGCCTTCACTACCACATTACTATTTTCATCATTTTCTATCATGTTTATGAGGCAAGGAATTATCTTGTTATCTAATACTACCTGTTGGCAATATGGATTATTTTGACACAAAACTGCCAGTATTTCACAACCCCCTGCTCTTACTTGGGCATTCAAACATTTGAAACAAGGGTGAAGGATCATAAACCCACCGATTTTATGGAAATCTGCAAAACAACATTTATGAAAACATTGAAAATAGAATGAGAAATGAAGGCTCACCATTAGCAATGTCAATATTATCTACATAGTCCAAAATGGTTTCTATAGCCTGCATGTACTCTGAGGAATCATCCACAGATCCTAACTGTTCAACTTTCTTGAGTATGTCAATTTGTTTTCTCAGAATTTCCACCACATCTACAGTCATTGATTTCAATGCATTCTCCAAAAACTTCCTTCTCTAGAAGGGAACATCATTGATTCCATTAGATGTTTACAGAACCTAAGCCTTTTCTAACGTACCTCTTCATCCATCGGTTCAAATGTCGCATCCCGAGGGGCATCTTCGGCCCTAGTGGCCTCCATAGAAAACCTCAAGAGGCCCTGGAGACTCGTGGGTTGTCTTGGTTGTCTTGAACTCCCTTCAGCATGACTTGCCCCAGCGTCTGACTGATTGAGAAGGGCCATTGATGTGTTATGCACTGGTACTGGCATTGTGATTCACAAAATTTTTTGAATTTCAGAAAAAAAAACAAATACCACAGAGTGAAAGGGGTTGATAGAAAATTTGTTGAGGTTAAAGTATTGCTGTTGAAAGATTCAGTTTTACGACTGTGCTATAGCAGAACTTAGCCAGTTTTTCAAGTTTCCTCTTTTTCTTCTTATTTTATAAACTCGTTGCTTCCCGCCATTCATTTGTTTTCATTTACATAACCTCAATATAAATTCAAATAAATAATGACTTAATGAGTGATTTTTGAGAATTTCTTGATAAAATATGGTAATTCTTCCAGGAATATTGATCAACCACCGATATCTGTTATATTAATAAATTCTAGAGACGCAGTTTGGCTCCTAGTCAAATTTCAAGAAGGGACAGCTCTCCATCACAAAAAAATGGATTCATATCACCACTACCTACAAAAAGGACCAGAGATCATTCAAAGGATGATAGGAAAATTAAGCGCCCACCGTTATCGCAAGTTTCCACACAGATAGTATTTGTTTCAGATCATGTAATTTTGTATGTTCATCATAATTTATGATGGAAATTAACCATGTTTCTTCAGGAGGAAATGATTAGAAAGCTCTCCAAACCTTTCAAATGCCCCATTCCCAACTATGAAGGTTCCAATTCTACTAGAAACCTTGGAATTAGAAGGCCCCAAGTGAAAAGGGCCCTGTATGATCCAAATATGCCAAATGCTTTGGTTCTGTATGCCCCACCAGAAATATCACAACATGAAAAAATGAAGAATAAGGATGGGTAAAACTCTTCAAGAAAATATGTTCATGTTGTTTTCAATTGTTGTGAATTTCAGCCTTGTATTAGTTCATGTTGTTGTGGATCCACTGTTGGGTAATATTTTGAGGCCCCATCAAAGAGAAGTATAAATTGTCAATCTTTCATTGTTACTCAGATACATAGTTTCAATTCTAGGGTGTTAAGTTTATGTATGACTGTGTCACTGGGGTGCAAATTCCAGGCTCATATGGTTGTATAATGGCTGATGAGATGGGGCTAGGTAAAACTCTACAATGTATAACACTTTTGTGGACCTTAGTGAGACAAGGTCCTGAGGCCAGACCTCTCATTGATAAAGGCATAATAGTTTGTCCCAGTTCTTTAGTGAAAAACTGGAGTAATGAAATTCATAAGGTACAATTTGCCTGTTTATTTAGAAATTTTGTCAGACATTTTGCTGTTTTATTAGTGGTTGAAAGGGCGTCTTCAGTCTACTATTATGGATGGAGGAACAGATGCTAAGAAAAAGTTATCACAGTTTATGCAGGGTCAGGGTAGGACTGCCATACCAGTCCTCATAATTTCTTATGAAACTTTTCGTATGCATGCAGAAATACTGCATAAAAGTGAAATAGGGCTTGTACTTTGTGATGAGGGACATAGGTAAATTTCAGATTGAGTTTTCATTTTTTTTTATGGGTATCACAGTTGATTTTCAGATTGAAAAATTGTGAAAACCAGACATATAGGGCACTGATGGGCTTGAAAGCAAAGAGAAGGGTTCTCCTAAGTGGAACTCCTATTCAGAATGACCTCTTGGAATATTTCAGTTTGATTCACTTTGTTAATGAAGGTCTTTTAGGTAGTGCTTCTGAATTTAAAAGGAAATTTGAAAACTACATTCTCAAAGGTGAGATTTTTGTATAGACTTGGTAGTACCTATAATTTTTGTTTTTTTGAATTTATGTACAGGGTGATTTCAAAAGGTGTCGGATTTGAAATTGATATCGCCATTGTGGCCACTTTTTCCGTTATTCCGGAAATATTATTAATTTCCTTATTTTGAATAGAACTCCCTGTATTTTGATGAATAATCAGATTCTACTTTAAAAGCTGATTTCATCGATTTATCACACTTGGGCTCTAGCGGGAATGATTACTGAGATATAGGGCGTTCAAAATCGAGATTTTTCAACTTTAGGATTTTTTTGTGTTGAAACTATTCATTATTGGTCAAAATGGCTCACATGTCCCTATCTTAACTTTAGATTCACTATCTACTAAAATTTAATTGGAACGAATACGGGGTGGTTCAAGAATCGGAATTCTGATCACCCTGTATTTGTTTCAATTAAATGTCAGTAGATAGTGAATCAAAAGTTTAATACGGACATGTGAGCCGTTTTGACCAATAATGAACAGTTTCAACACAAAAAAATCCTGAAGTTGAAAAATCTCGATTTTGAACACCCTATATCTCAGTATTCATTTCCGCTAGACCCCAAGTGTGTTAGATCGATAAAATCAGCTTATCAGGGAGAATCTGAAAATTCATTAAAACATAGTGTTATATTCAAAATAAGGAAGTTAATAATAATTCCGAAATAACTGAAAAGGTGGCAACATTGGCGATAACATTTTCAAATCCGACACGCTTTGAAATCACCCTGTACATGAATTCAAAAAAATCTAACAAACGGTTACTGAGATATTTCCTTGGTTCCATTCTTGAATCCAACCCTGTAGAAAAATCGATTTTTTTTTCAGGTCAGGACTCAACGTCAACTCAACTAGAACGTCAACATGCCTCTGAAAGACTGCTAGAGCTAACGACAATTGTAAATAAATGTCTCATACGTCGTACGTCTTCCCTCTTGACCAAATACTTGCCTGTCAAGTTTGAGATGATCATAATCTGCCAACTTACTCCTATCCAAAAACAGCTCTATCTCAACTATATCAATTCTGAGTCTATAAAACGCTCAGTGAATGAGGAGGACGTTAAAAGCACCATGAGTTCCTTAGGTAGAATATAAAATTATTAACTGTACAAATAGGTATTTGAAACTTGCCCAGCTCCAGCATCATGTAACCGAAAATACCACTAAATCTCCCCGGCAAAAAAAAGACAGAAAAAAATTAACGGAATTGTTCGCCCTGTACATTTTTCACTTCTTTCTGGCCGTTTTTTTTTTTTCGGAAACACCGAATTTGGTACACCATACCGGGTGACACAGGGTATCGGGCCACCCCTGTAACTTCTGCATTCGTCATCGGATTTTTCTGAAATTCGGTACAGTTATATAAGCAATTATTTCGGATTTGATCACATTACATACTTCCGGTATTTCTGGAAATGCCAGCAACTTTGTTTTTTCAAATGAAACACCCTGTATATTTCTACATATTCAAGTTCAACAGGTCGAAACAAGTGCAATCTTTATTTCGCATGTAATTTTTTCGAAAAATATTAAATTAAATTTGTTTTTTCATTTTACCTCGTGGATAAATGAGATGTGGTCAAGACTATTCACAATGAGTCACACATAATTTTTTCTGAAAAATTATTTTTTGTGTCACTTATCCAGGAATCAATTCAGCCACATCACTTTTTGATCAAAAATTATTTTTTTCAAATGGAACCCCTATGGGCCACCTACTCGTCTCTCTAAAACATACATTGAGGAACAAAATGAAATATCATTTTTGTTTTTCGGTGCAGAAACAAATTGTATACATTCAAAAATCAACAACTAGTTTATGAATTTCCTTGCAGTTAGAATAATTTTTCAACTAGGTAGGCTGTGGAATAAATGACATTTGACATCAAGATTGCACTTGTTTTGACCTGTTGAACTTGAATATGTAAAAATATACAGGGTGTTCTATTTGAAAAAACAAAATTCCTGGCATTTCCAGAAAAACCGGAAGTCCTCCATATGGATTGTAATGTGATCAAATCCGAAATAGTTGCCTATATATAACTGTACCGAATTTCAGAAAAATCCGTTGACGAATGCATAAGTTACAGGGGTGGCCCGATAGCCTGTGTCACCCGGTATACAGGGTTACCCTTTGAAAACGAAACAGAGGCTCTGTAGGTCGCCAAAACCGGATTATGAAAAAAATCTGAAACACGTCAACTACATTTTCGAAGTGGATATCGTTCTAAGTTATTTTCAGCTCTGCGGCGTTGCCGCTTCTAACGAAAAGTCGCAATATTTCAAATGGAACACCCTGTATTTCATTGCATTTTTAGATTCTCCCCAAAGAGCTGATTTCATCAATGCATCACACTTGAGATCTGAGCTATAGGGTGATCAAAATCGAGATTTCATTATTGGCCAAAACGGCTTTTATATCTCTATCTCAACTATTAATTTACTGACATTCAATTTGAACAGATACAGGGTGATCAGAATTCTGAATCTTGAATCACCCTGTAATTATTCCAATTAAATGTCAGTAGATAGAGAATCGGAATTAGAGATAGGGTCATGTGATCCGCTTTGACCAATGATGAATAGTTCCGATACTAAAAATGCCCAAGTTGAAAAGTCTCGATTTTGAACACCCTTTAGCTCTGTAGTCATTGCCGCTAGATCTCAAGTGTGATGCATTGATGAAATCAGCTCTATGGTGGGTGTTCCAGATGAAATAACAAAGTTGTTGCTACTTTTCGTTAGAAGCGGCAGCGCCACGGAGCTGAAAATAATTTATTTTTCAAATTTTGAAATCGGTCGAGAATAAGTGAGCTAGAGGGGGAGCATTTATGGTGAATCACCCTGTACAATGTGGGCCAAATTGGAAACTTTTAAAGGGAAAGTCCTATTTCCGTAAAAGATATCACAAACTCAATGCTTTGCAGTTATTTTCATAAGAACATACAGTTTTTGCTATTAAATACTTATGTATTGAGTTATAATTTGCATAAATACTGTCAAGATAATAGTAAACACTGATTAAGTAGGCATAACAAATAGATGATTTATTACATAGCAGGTAACGATTTACAGTAAGATTCGCTTAGTCACATGCACACATGTGCGTTATCAAAATAGACTGATGCTAGGATTTTAGGCAGTGATGCCAAATGTATATATCATAAAATCTATATAGACCTATCGTGTTAAACATACATTTCATTCGCCAAAAAAAAAAAAAATCATAGCCATGCCCATTTTAGAAGAACTCCTTGTAACTCCGAAACGAAAACAAATATCGATATGCAGGTTTCACCATTGAGTTTTGCATGGGAATCAACCCTCAGACATCGACATCAGTTTTCAATATTGCTTAGTTTTTGAATTTCATTGCGTAGTGCGGAGTCGTACTCCGCAGCGACCCTAGTCGTCTTGGTTATTTTGCATATTGCAGTTACATTTTGCAGCGATTTTGGGCAATTTGGGTAAATATTTCATCTCATTCGATGACTGATATTTCATAAAATACCGTTTCTCAAACACACAGGATCGATGCTACTGGATAAAAAAAATACACACTCAATATTTTAATGTAGTTCATGTGAAAAATTCATGTGCTCATTAGAACCCGCATTTTTCTTTTGCAAAGATTGCCAATGAATCATTTGTAGATTGAAATTGAAATATTTCGAGTTTGTCTTCAAATTATAGTGTTTTTGTTCGAATTCTAGCTATAAAATCTTCGATAGTTGTCTGATGTTGATTTTGGGGTTTTGTTATTGAATGAATATATTTTTATTGCAATTTTGACATTTCACTTCGTATAAATATTCATATCCAAAGGCATACTGATGGAATCTTTGGAAAAGTTCAATTTATCATGTTCAAATCACCCATATTCTCCATTGCGGAGTCAGACTCCGCAGCGACAAACTTTGTCCTTTTTGAGGCGCGACTACTGGAAGGTTAAAAGTGACCAATTTGGCCCACCCTGTACATTACCGTACTAGGAGTATAACCCGTGACGATTTCAGCCAGCATAACGACCCTGAAGAAACTGTGCAACCACCCCTACCTGGTACTGGACAAGATCCAAGAGGGGGCGGAAGGTTTCGAGCGCAGCAAGAATCTCCTACCGCCCCCTAGCGGAGATAATGACGTCAAACCGGAGCTGTCCGGCAAGCTGATGTTGCTCGACTGTTTCCTTGCCAATCTCAAGGCCAACTACAGCGACAAGATCGTGTTGGTGTCGAACTATACGCAGACGTTGGACATGTTCGAAAAGTTGTGCAGGAGAAGGTAGGGTTGTTTTTTGAATATCGGGATATTGAAACAGAAATCATTGATTACCTATAATCCAGATTAGTCAATTATAATAATTCAGATCGGTAATTTGAAATTCAGAAAGCTTCAATTGCAATTCAGATTGGTAATTTGAAAATTTCGATATTAGCTCTCTTGTCAAATATCCGTACAATGGATTGTGAAGGCGAGAAACATACCGGGTGTTTCCCTATACCTTTTTTATAGTTATATGGGTGAGCCACCTTAGAGAATCACCTGGTATATGAAGATAACCTTGAAAAACGCTAGTAAAACATTGAATTTGTCCAGGGGATACTTGTATGTCCGACTGGACGGTACTATGTCCATCAAGAAGCGCGCTAAAGTAGTTGAAAACTTCAACAACCCTGACTCCCAAGAATTCATCTTCATGCTGAGCTCCAAGGCAGGGGGTTGTGGCCTCAACCTGATAGGAGCTAATCGCCTGATAATGTTCGATCCCGACTGGAACCCCGCAAACGACGATCAAGCTATGGCGAGAGTGTGGAGGGATGGACAGCAGAAGCCCTGCTACATTTACCGGTTTTTGGCAGTAAGTAGAAAATAACGGAACTTTTCTGCCACTATTAAAAGGAAAAATAGGGAATATATTGGGCAAACGCGCAAGAACACAGTTAGACTATTTGAAGAACATCTTGCTTATTTCAGACATGACATGGCGAATCAAGTTCTGCTTTATATTCATGACATTAATGACTTCATCATCCTGGTCACAAGAATATTTATATGAGGTGTTTTCAAAATAAGTACATATTGTACATATTAAAACCTGAAAAACAAACGGAAAAAAGTCAAGTACGCCACTTCGAAACAATTCAAATGATTGAATTCTGTGTGATTATGCCTTCCAAGCGGAAATTTGTACAAAAGTGACACTAGAATTGCAACAATGTGGAACTTTGGGTGGAAAAATGGGTCACATCCCAAATTTTATTTCAATCCTGATATTTTTTTCATTGATAAATCGTTTGATAATAATAATGTTCGATCCCGACTGAAACCCGGCAAATGACGACCAAGGCTTTGGTGAGAGTTTGGAGAGATGGTACATTTACCGGATTTTGGCAGTGAGTATACACAGGAAAATATCGAAACTTCTCTGCTGGCATTGATAAAAAAAACGAAATATATTGGACGAACGCGTTAAAATACAGTTATTTGAATAACATCTTGCTCATTTCAAATATGTAGAATCAAGTTCTGCCCGATATATTCATGACATTAATCATTTCGTCATCATGATACAAGATGAAAAGGAGTATCCACAGGAAATTATCGAAAAACTAAATATATTGGCCAAACGCGTGAAAACACAGTTACACTATTCAAAGAACATCTTGCTCATTTCAAATATGACGAATTGAGTTCTGCCCCACATATTCTTGACATTAATGATTTCATAATCATGAGAGAAGATAAGAACAAGCATACACAGGAAAATGTCGAAACTTTTCTGCTGACAACGAGAAAAAAAAAAGGAATATATTGGACAAGCGCGTAAAATCACAGTTACACTATTTGATTAACATCTTGCCCATTTCAAATATGACAAATCAAGTTCTGCCCCACATATTCTTGAGATTAATCAGTTCATCATCATGATATGAGATAAAATCGAGTATCAACAGTAAAATATCAATACGTTTCGGTCATAAAAAAAAGAAATATATTGGGCAAACGCGTGAAAACACAGTTACAGTATTCGAAGAACATCTTGCTTATTTCAAATATGACGAATTAAGTTCTGCCCCACATATTCTTGTAAATAAATATTTCGTCATCATGATACAAGATGAAAATGATTATACACAGGAGAATATCGAAACTGTTTTGCTGACATCGAAAAAAAAAAAAAACGAAATATATTGGTCAAGCGCATAAAATCACAGTTACACTATTCGAAGAACATCTTGTTCATTTCCAATATGATGAATCAAGTTCTGCCCCACATATTCTTGAAATTAATCAGTTCATCATCATGATATAAGATAAAATCGAGTATCCACAGGAAAATATCGAGACTTCTCTATCATCGAAAAATAAAAATAAAACAAATATATTGGGCAAACGTGTGAAAGAAGATGATAAAAACGAGTGCACACATCAGGAAAATATTGAAATTTTTGTGCTGACTATAAAAAAAAAATAGAAATACATTGGTCAAACGCGTAAAAGCACAGTTACGCTATTTGAAAAACATCTTGCTCATTTCCAATATAAAGAATCAAGTTCTGTCCCACATATCCTCGACATCAATCATTTCATCATAATGGTAGAAGATATAAACGAGTATACACAGGAAAATGTCGAATCTTTCCTGCCGGCATTGAAAAAAAAAAAAGGAAAATATTGTGCAAACTCTTGAGAACACAGTTACATATTCTGTTAATGTAAAAAATAAGATTACCTGTGCGTTTGAATATTTTTTCTTTGACTGCTATCTAAAGTTGACTCGACTTTGTCCTTGCGTGGATAATAGTACCATTTTTTTTTTAAATTTTTCTACAGAGAACAAAATAGTTGTTTCTTTATATTGGATTCGTCAATTCTCGTTTCTAGGCCGGTTCGATCGAAGAAAAGATCTTCCAGAGACAAGCGCACAAAAAGGCCCTGAGCTCGACCGTGGTGGACATGAACGAAGAAACGGCTCGCCATTTCAGCGTGGCCGAGCTCAGGGACCTGTTCAGACTGGAGCAGACCGAATCCGACACGCACCAGCGGCTCAAGTGCAAGCGATGCCTCAACAAGATCCAGATCAAGAATCCGCCAGAAGAAGCCGATTGCACGGACGATCTGTCCATGTGGTACCATTGTTGGGGGGACAAGAAGGGTTTGGCGGATATGGTGAGTGAGGGTTGGTGCAGGGCCTACTCTAAGAGTGGTTGGTGGGGTGTGTTGGTTGACCTGGGGTTGGTCGAGAAGATAACGGGAAGTCGAACGTATATGGAAATTTCGATTTTTTTCATTCCAAAGGCTTCAGGAAAAAAATTGGTACGACCCTTGCAGTCGCGTTTTTTATTCTTTATAGTAGTACGTGCAAACAAATCTCGAAATTCCTGTTTTCTTCATTTCGGAACCTTCAGAAAAAAAATTGGTACGTCCCTGGATACGAACAAATTCGAAATTCCGACTTCATTTATTTCAACACCTTCAGAAAATAATTCAAACGCCTATTGGAGTAGTGATTTATATTAAATGCAGTGTGCTCGGAACAAAGAATCTACAGGGTAGTAGTGGACTTTTTCAAATGGAACCCTCTGTATTTCATTGAGTTTTTGATTCTCCCTGAAAAGCTGATTTCATCAATGCATCACACTTGGGATCTATCACAAACGATTACAGAGATATAGAGTGTTCAAAATCGAGATTTTTTCAACAATGATTTCTTTGCCTATCTTAACTTTTGATTTAATATCTACTGACATATAATAATTGGAACAGATACATTGTGATCGGAATTCTGAATCTTGAACAACTCTGTATTTTTCCAATAAAATATCAGTAGATAGTGAATCAGACGTTTAGATAGGGACATGTGAGTCGTTTTGATCAAGAATGAATAGTTTAGAGACTGTAAGACACAGAAATACGCACGTTATCTTCATTCTTGCATCCTACATATTTTTGATTTGTGGTAGAGTAATCGAATTGGGACAGATACGTGGTTATTAGGATTCTGAATCTTGAACCACTCTGTATCTGTTCCAATCGAATGTCAGTAGTAAATCAAAAGTTAAGATAGGGACATAAAAGCCGTTTTGAAACCACAAAAAAAAAGAAAAATCTTCCTTTTGAACACCCTTATATCTTTGTAATCATTTCCGCTAGATCCAAAGTGTGATGCATTGATGGAATCGCCTCTTCATTCAGGAAGAATCTAAAAATGCAATGAAATACAGGGTGTTCCATTTGAAAAATCAACTAGTACCCTGTAGATAGTTTCTTCCGAGCACACTGAAATCCAATCTGAAATAAGTGAGCTAGAGGGGGGAGGGCATTTACGGTGAATCACCCTATACGTTAAAACGAATTTAGAATTTCATGTTTCCTTTCAGAACCTTCACAAAAACAATTGTTACACCCTTGGAGACAATTTAATCGCGAAATTCCGACTTTATTTATTTCAGACCCTCCAGAAGATAATTATTGGTATGCCTCTTGGAGTCGTTATTTATATTAATCATTGAAGTACGTTAGAATGAATATAGAAATTGATTTTTCTTTCAGAACCTTCACAAAAATAATTGGTACGCCCCTGGAGACGAAATAATCACGAAATTCCGACAATCAATCAATCAATGTTATGTTGGTAGCACTAAAAATGAGAAGAAGAAGACCATTCTAACTTGTTCAATATCCAGGTTGAAATGGTCTTCTCATTTTTTTCTCATGTTCAGTGTTGTGTTATCAACAGAAAATTGTTTGAACTTGACTCATATGTGGATCACAAAATTCCAACTTTTTTCATTTCGGTTCCTCCACAAAAAAATTCGGCACGCCCCTGGAGTTGCGATTTCTAATCTAAAATGGGTGTTACCTCTAGATCAATGAACCCCTTCTAATTAATTTCCCATTTTCTATTGTTGACCCCTTCAGAAAATAATCAAGGTACTTCCCTGAAAGAAATTTCAAAATTCTGATCCTATTAAGGAGGGGGACAATATTAGCAACAGAAAATAATGAAAATTTCTCTAAAACACATTTCTTATTAGGTTCTGAAGCAAATCTGGGACATGTCAAAATACATTTCGTTCGTTTTCCATCAAAAATCCGCGAAACAAGAGGTAAAAACACTGAAGAATCTCGAAGAAGAAGAAGAAGATCCTGATTATGATGAACAAGACGAAGACAAAGAAGGAGACTACAGCCAGTGAAATAAAAATGTTAAGTTTTCTAGTTGAATATTTTTGTACTTGATAAACTCAGTTATTGAATGTGATATCAGTGTTAGAAATAATAAATAAGTTATTGCCATTATTATGATAAACACATTTTTAAACTTTCGCCATGCAAGTTTTTACAATTATACTGATTCTCAATCAGAGAAATTTATGAGCATGATTAGAGTAGCACATATACTTACCGGGGTATTGTGAGAAAAACTATACCGCCCTGATGCACTTGAACGTCCTGTAAGTCGTCAACGAACCATATTTTCTAACGGGGTCATATACTAGATCTCCTTATTTTGTTTTCAAAAAATGAAAGATTCACCCTGTACAGTGTGTCCACCTTAAGGACTTACCACCCCTGTAAAATTGTTATTATCTGACCGATTTCAAAAAACTTTTTTTTTGTTGGAGAGGTATTTGAAATGTCCATCCAACAAGAGAGTGATTTTACTCATGAACTGTAATCATGGCCAACTGCGACCAACTTTATTGACCCATATTTGAAAAAGTACTATTAGAGATTTTTTTTCACAAAAAACAATGATGGATTCTGAATCACAATCACTTGAAAAACACCTTTACTGATTTTTATCATCATAAAACACAGGGTGTCCGAGAAAACGAATTATGTTTTTTTTAATAGGTGATCAGAAAATGTAGTATTTTGTGGTAGTTTTGAGAAGAATTGATGACACATTATTATTGAGGATCACTTTGAACATATCTGTACCGATTTTCATCATTCGAAAATACGATGTGTATGAGAAAACAATTAAAAAGAAAAAGTAGGCAATATTTTTTCATCAACTCAAAAAAAATATTAATTTGATTTTTCGAACATCCTGTGTTTAATGATGATGAAAATCGGTACAGGTATGTTCCAAGTGATCCTGATTCATCTTTTTATTTTGAGTGAAGAATTATCAGGATGAAAAATATTGCCTACCTATTCTTTTTGATTTTTTTCTCAGGCACATTGTATATTCAAATGACGAAAATTGGTACAGGTATATTTGAAATAATCCTCAATGATAATTTGTGATTATTTCATTCTAGAAAAACCACAGAAATACATTTGCTGATCACCTATTTGAAGGAAATGATGATTCGTTTTTTCGAACACCCTGTGTTTTATGATGATGAAAATCGGTACAGGTATATTTCAAGTGGTACTGATTAAGAATCCATCATCAAGTTTCGTGGAAAAAAATCCCTAGTAGTACTTTCTGGAATATGGGTCATTGAAATTTGTCGCAGTTGGCCACGATAACAGTCCAAGAATTAGATCACTCTCTTGTTGGATGGGCATTTCAAATACCTATCCAACAAAAAAAGGTTTTTTGAAATTGGTCGGATAATAACGATTTTACAGGAGTGGTAAGTCCTTAAGGTGGACACACATAATAAACACTGTAATAAAACGATCCTGAATATTTTCATTCAATTTTAATTAATCAAAACAAAAATGTATTTTAATTAAAGACATTTTCGTATTTACAAAACCATTCGATATAATTCTTCACAACAGAGAAATGAATTTTACAATTTTAACAATGTTTTTTTGTGTTAGAGCTCTGCTGTATCATTTAAGATGTAGTCAGCTTTGAAAGTTATACAGTGTCAATAATTCCTCGGATATTCTGTAATAACACTCGGAAGAAAAACAAACTAGATTTTTTTAAACAAAAAAAAAATATTAAGATTTGATCTCTTAGTTTTTGTTGATTCTGCAACTGACTAGCTATTTTTCCAATTTGTTTTCGATCATTTACTCAATACAGGTTTGAAAACCAGGAATGTTACTAGTTGGCAAACGTTTTTTGGATTTTTTTGAAAAACATATCTCATAAATAGTAGCGAATTGCACTAGGTATAGCTTTTTTAACAGTCATTCGGTAAAATTATGCAAGTCAGAAATGATAATTTATTGAATTTAGAAAAAACTACCTGTACATTAAAGAGTCCTTAATTGAAAATTAAATTATCAAAAACTGACGCTTTTTGAATTATAAATCACTACCTCTGAATTAAAAATGATGATCTCTGAATTACAAATGAGGCTCTAAATTTAAAATGATGCCCTAAATTATAAATAAGGCTCCTTGAATTAGAAATGACGACTTATGAATTACAAATAACAACCTCCGACTTACAACTGACGATCTCTGAATTACTAATGAATTACGAATGACAATTTCTATAACAAAAATTAGAATATCTGGATTGCAAATGATAGAATATCAATTATTATAATCTGAATTTTTATCTACGGTTTCTGAGTTACAAATGAAAAAAGTGTAGATAAAAAAAACCACAAACTGTAGTGGCTGAACCATTCGTCCGCATCTATTTATAAACATTTATAAACTTTTTTCATAAAAATCCAAGAACGTTTTTTAATAGAACAACTATTTTAAAATCAGTTCGGTAGTTTATGGTGATACTGATACATCATTACATAGTATCCTAAGATTTACACATCTCGCTTTTTTTTGGTTACCATTACCTCAAGTTAAACACCAAAAGGAAACAAAAAATTCTTCATTGACACCAAATAAAAAAAAACTAAAAAAAAATCACATTCTAGGCAAACTTAATTTTTGAAATTCTTTATAAAAAACCCTATGTCAAAGACGAGAGACATTACATTTCTTTTATCACATGCACATTCTTCATCTACAAACAGGTAATGGCACCATTTATCTAGTTGGGGGTTTAGAAAAGCTCAAATTCCCAAATATATTATTTCTCACCCCCTCAATCGAAAAATATGTTTCGACGATTCCAGCATTTTCGTATCCTATCACATTGTCCATGTAACAATATGGTTTCCCTATATACAAATCGTTACATTTTTTTTCGGCACGAAATCATCGAAATGATTCTTCCATTGTTAGATAATTTGAGAGAAATTGACGAGTCATCTAAGACGAATAAATAGTTTTGAGACATTTAATTTTCTTCACTAAAATTACTTTCAAGTCGTTGAACCATATTTGACCTGAAAATAAAAGAACAATGAACTATGCATTCAGAAATTATATTTCAGGGCAATGAAGAGAGAGAGAGAGAGAGCATACGTTTATACTCACCATATTGATTTTTTTCTCAAGAATCTTAGAATGTGAGATCAGAACAATCTGAATAAACTAGTAGAAATGGTGTAACAACTGTTGTATTTGAAACAAAAACACGGAACCCAATTATTTCAGCTGTAAAATATAACATTGAATATAACGAAATTAAAAGGCATCTCATTGTTTTGCAAAGCTGCAAGTTATCGTTTTATTCAGATATTATTTTTCATGATTTTTGTAATTGCCCCAAATAAAAATGATCAATGTCAAAACCAACAAAACAACACAAAAACGTCAACACGCAACATCTTCATTCGATTTTCAGTATTTTTTTTTCTTTATATTCAACTAAGGCAACCTATATACACGGAGGAGCATGTTCGATGGTACCTTATCAGACGTCTACGGAGAACGGGGCATAGAAAAATTCTGAAACTTTGATGAAATCTTTGACACGATTCTCAAAGACTTCAAGTGGTCTCCTTCTCAATTCTATTCCTAGTTTGTTATATTCCCCTACACCTTTATAAAATACTGAACGCTGCATCTGTGTTTTATTTGCTTGTTTTACAACCAAATTTTCTTTTCCTCTTGTATCATAGTCATGAAGAGTTCTGACTAAGCACGTTTTCAAAAATTAACAATGCAAGAAGCATTTCATGTAACAATTGGGGAAACAACGTATTTAGAGTAATTCGACCCCGCTGAATACGAGTCTGCCTGTTGCCAAAGCGAAATTTGGACCGGAAGTCCGGTATCCAAGATGGCGGCCGAGATGATGGTCAAAACTCTGTTGCCCTATATCTCCCAGGTCCGTTGGCTTCTAATGATGATTCAAACATTTGCTCAGGGGTTTTCTCAGATGCTTGGTACATTGCAGTGCTTCAAGTTTACTTACCTCAAGTTTGGAGTGCATGAACTTCAAGATGGCCGCCGAAGGAAGTAAAGAAAACGACCATTCCAGAGTTCATTGTTTGAAAGATGATGAAAAAAGCGTCCTAGTGTCGATAGCTGAAGGCAATAATACAAAAATGATAATTCCAAGAGTCAAGACATAGGTGAGAATGGTGGCACAACTTGGTGCAAGTCAGTCCATTCTTCTTGCACGTGCACATTGTTGTCATTCAGTAGAACGAACAATTGCAAGTTAAAATATCCGTGCAGGCTTTGGGAACGGACTCAAGTGTCATGAGGATGGGAATGTACTCGTCTTGGATGAGCCTCCACCCATATGACTCAGGATCCATCACCAACGGTCGGGCATGATGAGCATTCTCCCACACGTTCACCTGAAATATTTATTTGTTTAAATGTAAATTACTTTCGCCAGACTCCTTCATCTGCATCTATATTTTCTTCTGGATTCTCTCGGCCTTCACTATACACAGACTGTGTATTTCACTTCAGATGCTATCAAGCACGGCATACAATTGATGCAAGAGAACAGTTGGTGGTCATAATTAGCCAGCATTCTTATAGTCTCATTCTTTGGCTTTGACATCACCTGTCTCAGTGCTTCGCTTTTATCGCTTTGACAAAAAATACACTTGCTAATGTCGAGACAGTCAGTCCGAGGCCTGGTGACGTATCGAGATGACGATGGTTCTGTAGCAGCACATTCCGCCACTTGTGAAGGCGCTGATTTGTTCTTTAACCTTTCCAATCGTCCGGAATATGCAAAGTTTGAGTAGCATCCGCGGTGGTACTTGAATGGGCGTGTACACCTCAGTAGAACTTTCAACTCAACCCATGTTTATAATGATCCTTTTATACATAAATAATGATTGACGACATAATTCGATCGAAAAATCAACTAGGATGTTTTGTTTTTGGACATAAATAATAGTACCTTCTGAAAACGGACCCTCTCATGACGTAGAAACCTCATCTCGCCATAGTTAAAAGAAACTACCAAACGCCCGATTGATTCTTTCAACTGTGATCTCGCGCTAATTCACTCTGTCAGGAATCATGCATCATTCATCTCTGTCTGGAATAGTCTTGTTTCAGTATTAGGGTTTTGACGTCACATCATCGCCTCGTTTTCAGAGGTCCGAAAAATCGGGGATTTCAATAATTTTCTATAAAACGTAGGGAGCTCACAGCAAGAAACGGTTTGCGGTGGTGAGCTAATTTGGGTGAGTTCTATCGAATGATGATTTTTTTTTATGTGATATAAGCCCATTTCGCGTCACTATTTGTCAGCGTTTGTTCGATCTTAACAATAGTGACAGCAAAATCAGCATCATGGAGTTCATTCCTCAAGCCTGCGTATTTCAGAAGAGTCTCTTTGCCGTTATCCGATAGATCTGATAATTTGCCCTTTGAACATTTTCTCTTCTGGAAGATAATGCATATGTTGTGGTTGGACGTTACAGCCACTAAGGAGCCCACCGATAACGCCATATTGACCACATTGTATTTTGAAAGCTGTATTGCTTGAAAAATCCTTGATTGATAAAGATAGACGGCAGATTTGTGCATTCCCTAATAATTAGGCATCTCGACTGGGTCCTTCGAGAGGCACAAGTACTAGAGGATACACAAATCTGCCCTCCATATCTCTCTGTCAAGCCATAATATGTGACAAATACAGTAGTCGACGTATTAGGTATACATTTAACCACTAAAAACTGTCTATCTGACAGATATTGCACTCGAAATACTAGTTTCGGCGACGATCTTGGCCGCCACGAACTCCAGGCTTAGAGTAAGTAATTTCTGAGCATTTCAATATGATAAGCATCCCAGAAAACCACTAAGCTGTCGTTTAAATCAATATTTAAGGCCATGCGAAAATGAATATATAGGAGAACAGAGGTTTGCAGGCTATCTTGGCCGCCATCTTGAATACCAGACTTTAGTCCAAATTTCGTTTTGGCAACAGGCAGATTCGTATTCAGCGGGGACGAGATACCTTGAAAACGTTGTTTCCTTAGTTTTTACATGAAATGCTTCTTTCACTTTATAGAGATGGATTTTCTGCTTATGAGCCTACACTACAACCAGTGCAGGGAACGGAAGTTCTATAATCACATTACAATAAAACTCTCTGTTGTACAATGTCTGTAATCTCTCTATTTCACTTACGTATTCAAGTAGTTGCTCTTGGTTTATCGATCTAAAATATTGTCAGCATTGCAGCGTTGCCGCTTATACCGGTATATGCCGAGAACGGGCGTTCCAAATGCGGTTTACTGTGCGGTGGATACAAAAATGCCACCGGGCAAGCCATTTTCCATCTTTCTCAAAGCAAAACCCAACGCCCAAGTCACAAAATGTAATTTATATATTTCTCTATTAAGATGTGTGGCAAAGCAGATCGCATCACCTGGGAATGTTCGCGATATTGTCAGGGTAATGAATAAATAATAAATGAAGTAGGAAATTAATTTGTGGACAATTTGAATCAGAGTATTCCTGGTATTGGATATCCTTACGTGATAAATCTCGATAAGAGATCGCTACCTGCTCAGGTAAGTTGTAAAGCCTCTAGAAGTGCCTGTGGTATGGCCTCCGATATATTTTTGTATTTTCATATTTGTATTTTCAGATTCTTATTGTGAATAAATATCTCACTAACTTCCTTTACTGACTGGATTTTATATCTCCCCTGGAATATTGTCTCAGATGCCACCTTTCTGAAATACACCGTATACGAGCCAACAAAACACAACACAAAACAACAACACCAACGCAACATCTTTATTCGATTTTCTCCATATTCCTTTCACCTTAAACCTACCACAAAACAACTTACCGAGAGACTCCCCTCGACCACACCAAGTGCTCTCTCTATCTCTCTCCCCCTCGCCACGCCCACAGCCGCGATTGCGCACGTCTAGTTGCGCACCTGCGCCGCCGCCGCCTGCCGTTCAATCTCCTCCAGACTTGTGGCCGCCCCGCCACGCCCCCTCAGGGCGGCCGTGCTGGGCAGCTCGCCGCCCCTAGCGCGCTCCAGCAGGTCGGGCGAGAACCAGCGCGACAGCTGATCGACGGTGGAGGAGGGGGAGGGGGAGAGAGGGGAGGGGGAAGGGGGGCCGGTCCTGGGGCCTGCGACAAGGGAAATAAATAAATTGTTGTGGAGATATGCAAGTACAAGAACATTCTCTTCGACTTCACTTTCATCTACATTTCGCATATATTTTTAATGGAGAATTCTGATACAAACGAATATTGTTTGAATAATTCTGATAGAAAATAACAGTTGACAGAGTTAATATAAATTGATAGGCCAGACATGTCTCGAATTACTGAAGCTGTGTTTAAGAAATCGTGTTGCCATGGTAACGTGTTTAATATTTTGAATAAATCACAGACTGACAATCCCTGATTATTCAATCATTTAGCGTGGTATATATCCGTACGCTAAATGCCATTTTAGTTATGTGAGTAGAAAACATTATTTATTCATCAAAATACTACTGAGTTGTACACCCACCTGGCTGCCCACTACCGAAGAACTGCTGCCAAGCACCGCCCCCTACGGGCGGCTGCTGGAACCCTATCTGCTGCCCTCTTTGCTGCTGCGTCGCTTGCTGCTGCTGCTGCGGCTGAGTTCCCGTTTGCTGCTGCTGCGGCGGCTGATTGCTCGACCGATGTTGATGCTGCGCGCGCAGCTGCTGCGGATTGAACTGTTGGTTAGTATTGTACGATTGCGGATTGTATTGGGCACCTTGACCGCCCACAGGGGCAAATTGTTGCTGCTGCTGCTGCGGTTTGCTGCGCTGCTGCTGCTGCTGCTGCTGCGGAGGTGGCGGTTGGTTGAACATGCGCTGTTGCTGCGCCTGGTGCTGGCTGAAGAACTGCTCGGGCGTTTGGGTTTGGTAGTGGTTGTTGGCCTTCACTATCGGACGACCAGCTGCAAGAGATGTTTCTACTATATCCCGAGTTCGTCGGTTAGTTTTACGGAGCTTATTCTGGAATTCTAGAGAGTGGTGTACACATAGCCGAAATTATTCACATTTTGTTCCGATCCAACATCGTTTTCGGCAGAAAATGATGATGACAAATTTTTGCAGATTGCTCATGATCTACCGCCTGTGTTTCAAAACGAAGGATGCACTAATCATACAATAATTAAATAATACAGATTTTTTTATGCATATTTATTCTGTATGTTTGTTTCTTAATTGAATTATGTGGATTCTGCTATTAATAGATATTTACAATACAAGTATGGAAAACCTGTCGATTATTGCAATATGAATTTACCATACGAATATCTTACAATATTTCACCAAATACCAAAAACGCTGATTATTTGATCGAAAATAGGTAATAGGTATTCCTTGAATCAAAGATTCATTAGGAATATGTAACAACCGAGCCTTGCAAGGGTTGGGAGTATTCTTGTGAATCTATTGTGTTCTCGGTTGTCACTCATTCTGGGAACTGTCAACTTTGACGCGTCCATTTCAATTTGGGATGAACATTTATCAACATGAATTCCGATCACGAAAGTTTAGATTCAGAAATAGAAATTGCGGCAAATGAAGCAATTCAAACTTCAGTACCCGCTATATTTATAATGATTTATATGATCAATTAGTTCTTATTTCTTTTTTTCGAGTAGAAAACTGTAATTTGAGATTATTTATTTACTTCACCGCACTGGTGCTGTGAAATGTCTCTTTACTAAACTAAACCAGTGTCGTAATGTTTCACATTACATATTGGTAGTAGGTACAATTATAAGAATTTTCCTAATTTCGTCATTACATGGAATTATAATGTATTGAGGACTGTAGCAAAGTTGTATTGGCGTGTTTACTACATGTGATGCATATTTTTCTAGAAGTCATTCACGTATGTCAAAAGCCAAAGTTATAGTGATGTGCTGTGTTTGTTACCGTTTTAGTACCTTTTGTGTGTTTCAATTGATTTTCAGTGTTTTCTTGTTACAAAACTATAATATAAAGACAATTATTAACAAACTACTATGGTTCGCCAATGTGTGGTCTGTAAAAAAGTTGACCATTCAAACCCCGAATTGGTATTTCGACGGTAAGTAAGGATCTTTTTCTAACTTATTTGAAACTTAAGAAGTATGTACGATTGTAAGCAAATACTGTTTCGTACTCGAGAATGAAAAAAATGCACATTGAATTGTTGTTCAATATCAATATTTTCAGAGCTAATTTGTTGGAGTATGAAGTGTTTTGTCATTTATAGAATTGAAACTGTGAAGACAGTTCTTACTATTTCACCCAACTCTATCACACCATGTTGAGCAACCATGGATTTCTATGTCTCCATGTTAAAAGAAATTCAGACTTTCAATGTTCTCTGATAATATTTCGATGATTATTAGCATCATCATATTAGAATATGCAGGGTGTTCCCAAAGGTTGTTTTTTTTTTCAAGAGAATGTAGAATTCAATTAAATATACCGATCCGCCAAATATCGTCTCAATAAAAGCTCCATAATAATAACAGAGATATTATCAATTGAACATTCATACATCTAGTTATTCTGAAACTTTCATATGGCCCAATTTTTTATAACTTCGTCTATTATGATGAGTTAGGCATCCCGTTAATAATTGCCTTATCTTTGGGAACACACTTTATTTATACAGCAAAACTGTCAGAAAAAAAGTCAGATAATACGCCATCAAACTACATTCTGTTATTTCTGCAATATAGTAAAGAAAAAAGCATAGGACCATGTTTAACTTCAGAAACAATGACCAAATTTTGAATTTTTTCAGCTACATTGCAGTATGGAGTTAAAATATCCACTTACTCGTACCTTGATGTTTCATAGAGGGAAATTGAGGATTCCACTGCTGTCCTTGTGGTTGTACAGGTTGTGGTCTCACTCCAGTTACGGCGCGGCCCAGCTGAATTTTTCCATCGATCATACCTTTGTTCTCCTTACCTGAAAAGTCGATAGACCCAAGTACAATAGCGAATCAAACTAGAAAAATATAAAGGAAATTGAATGGATTAAAATATAACATATTAACAAATAATAAAACGATCTACTATTTTTTCTCGTTATCTACCAGTTTCGTTAATTTATGAACATTTGTGGAAGTTACTTTGAGCTATTCATATTTATTCAACATTTCATTCCACCATGAAGATAATCTTCCCCAATCTCACCTTCGTCCTTGTCGGCTGTCATCTTCCTCAGCACCGAGGTCGGCGTGAATGCCAACGGAGTGGGCGAATGCACGTTCTTGCCTTGGCCCGGCGCCCCCTGGTGCGCCCCGTTCGCGCTGGGGCTGAGCCCCCGCTGCTGCTGCTGCATCTCCTGCTTCTTGCGGTAGTTCTCCTGCTGCTCCTCGAGCTTCTTCTTGATCAGCGCGCGCTGCAGGATGTTCTGGGTGTGCACCTGCAGCTCTCTGGGCGACGGTATGCGCTGGTGCATAGCTGAGTTTGGGAAATGGAAATGAGTTGATCACTCAGAGTAATTATTTGAATAACTAACGCCTACAGAGAGGAGGAAATTGATGAACATCGCGGTGGGAGAGCGACAGCCCACTACAGCGACTGTGGCGTAGTTGCTTGAGCATTTGAGTTCCACGCCGGCGACCCGGGTTCAATGCCGGCGACAGAAGACTTTTTTTTAATCTGTTTTCTCACGTAATTTTCGGAAATATATACTTTTTAGGAGGGTCTCCTTTTGTTGAGGCTGATAATGATTCGCTATTTCAATGATGCAATGTGCGGAAGTGGAATTGAGATAAAATCAACATAATTTATGGACCGGTCGGTGATGACAGATTATGTGCAACGTTTTTTAAAAGGAAAGACATTCTTCAAGTCATGATTTTCATGGGTTTACCAAATGTCCTAGACAATGATCTAGTTGTGCTCGCATGCAACTGCGTCACGAATCAAATGTGAATTTGCATTGGAAATTTACTTATTTATTCATTTTTGAAATAACATACATTATCATCATACTATATGAATAATAATGTACATTTTTTTAATATAAACATGATCAAAAAAACTGAAAACTCCATAATCATGTAATATTCTTTCTTTTTCCTTCCACCAACTACAACTTACATAATATAAAAAATAACTATTGTTAGCGACGATGTTCAAATCACCACGTAATTGAGAAGAACGCCTAAGGAATGCCTTATCACAAGCGGCGTCGACGACTTATCGGTATTCGTAATCATCGTGTGATCGAAGATTGAAGCAGGTTTAGTCAGTAGCATCGTAGCATAAGAACGAATCACTTGTCGATGTTGTATTATTATAAACGGTCTTCTTTGTACAAGCCGTCTTGAGTGAATGAAAATGTGTTTGAGTGTTGAAATTGTGTCTGTCTTTCATATAATCAAATTTCCTAAATTAATTAACTGAATGAACATGTGATGAGGAGGAGGGAATTTTCACAATTTTTCAACGTATGCTTTTCAACAGACCAAGTGTTGGTGTTACTTGCATCACGATAAATTACTTTGCATACAATAGTGGCGCGAGCGAGAGGATTAAGGCGCGTTCACCCGACTCTTTGCGAAAAAAGAGGTATATAACACTGACACAACTTTTTTGGCAGAATCAAATGAAAAGCATCTAGTATTTAATAACAATTTATCAACTATTTTAAATCACCAATCCAAATTTTTCAACTCATTCGGTTAGCGAAAAAATGGTATTGTGCCAGTTTAACCTCAAGCTAACATAACCGTTTCATTGCTTTTCACCAAAAGAAGTTACGGGGATGATTCAAACGCTCAAGTTTTTAAACTTTTTCGAATGGTATACCAATAATTTGAATTTGAGAAAACTTGGAGGTTTTGCAAGGGTTAAATATGAAAGCAGTACCTCAAATCCATAAAAATTTCTACTTGCAATTTTCAATGGTATTCTTCTAGCAACAATCAACAATATTTATTGCTAGGATGAAAGCATTTCGAAAGTTTCCAAGGGCAGAGAGGTAGGACTTCAGACTAACAATAGGACTTACCGGGTAAACTCAATGTATTGGGACTAGTAGCCAATATTGGAGATACACAATACGCTGCATGTAAAACAACAAGGGGAATGTAGATAACAACAAAATGCCACACGCATGCAATGTTTAATAAGACAACGAAAGCAAAAATACAAAGCCAAAGCACAAACAGAAAAAAAGAAAAAGAAATGGAGAGCTAAGCCTATTTCCAGTTCTTCTACAGGTGCCACAAGGAGTGACGTTTTGTCTATAGCATTGTTTTTCTGAACTATACAGGGTGTTTCGAAAAATGGTCTTCATCCTCTTGTACTTTGAATAGGAATGCTGATTACATTTTTTTTCACTGAGCAAACCCAACTAATTTTGCAGTGTTCTATCTACCCTAGCAACGAGCAAACCTTTTTTTGAAACACCCTGTATAGTACAGGAAAATTCATGTCTGGAGTCTGGAACTCTTTGAAAAAGGTAATCTTGTACTTGTGAGTTATGATCTGCTGCTTTTTCGCAGTTGTATGTGTTCCAGCTGTTTCTTCTATCAAAACAAAATCACATGAATAAGAAGAAGATTCGTTCGAGGAAAATAATATAGCGACTACAAACAGCATAATTATAATACCAAGAGAGGAATAATTATTAATTAGAAGAGCTGGATCGATATCTTTTGGGAGAATTTGGAAGAACCTTCCTTATAGTTCCAGAATAAAGATAATGAAGATAAAATCTACAGCTTACAAAGAAAAGGGCCAACAAAATTGTTGGTTATCAGAATTCGTTTACGATCGACATTTCACCTATCTTCCTATTGTTGTCAGGACCGATATTCTTGTCAAATGCAAGATATGCACCGATAATGTGTCAACGCTACCGAGACACTAGACCCCGAGAGAACAGCAGATCTCAACCGTTACCGGATGAATGAAAGCATTAGGTCCTACTCCAAAGAGTCATAAGTTGATAATCTCTTCGAAAATTTTGCCTAACTGTCAATGTCAATTTTTCTTGGATAATATTCCATTATTCAGCCGAATTCATCACAATCGCTTCAGATTGAAAAGCTGGAACGATGCACCACCCCACAGCAAAAACTAACGCAGCGGCAGACAAGCAAGCAAAACAAAGAAGAAGAAACACGTCGTCGGCCAGCCGGACCACTCACCGTTCACCGATGGCAACGGCGAAACGCTCAACTGCTGCTGTTGCTGCTGCGACTGCTGCTGCTGCTGGAACATGTAATGCGCGGCGGGCTGCGGACTCAAAGCCCTAGGGCTCGGCCCGTACCCGGCGCCCTGCATTTTCAGGACGGTCGACAGCATGTCTCGATGGCGGGGTTGCAGAGCGGGATTGGCCAGTTGCTGGTAGAGATGCTGCGTGGTGATCTCGCCGCGTTTGAGACCTTCTCGGGAGGGTCGGGTGGGTAGGAGGAAAATATACATTGAGAAAAATGTTCAACGAGAAAGTCCAACATGTGGTTTTTTTGTAGGGGGGAATGTTCAACGAATAATTTTCGGAGATAGTGAAAAATTACGGAGGGAATGAGGAAATTCAATTGAACAGAGTTGGAAAATATTGACCGAAAATATTCGGCCCTTTTTTAATAAATTCACAAGAATTTTGGAAATCAATCAATCAATCAAAGACTCCTAGAGAATATATCATACCTCTATTGCTCAAATATGTCCTTTAATTCGAACGTTTTCGGTAGTGTGTAACGAAAACAAAAGAAGTTTTGGGAAAATGTATGTCGTTTTTCCTTAACTGAAAGCTGGAACTCTCAATGATTCGATTTTTTTCCAGCTGTCCCTTGAGTTTGAGATATACAGGGTATGTCACGAAGAGCTTATACTATATCTATATCGAGAATCAGTCGGGAAAAATCCATGAGAATATGCATGTTTATATTTCAGAATACGCTCTCATCATTCAAAATATTTTCGACAATGCAGTGTTGCCGTTTATACTAGAAAGTAGTAGCAACATTGATATTTCAAATGGAACACCCTGTATTTTATCGCATTTTTAGATTCTCCCTGAAGAGCTGATTTCATTGTTACAACACACTTGGGGTCTATCGAAAAAGATTACAGAGATATAGGGTGTTTAAAATCGAGATTTTTCAACTTTAGGATTTTTTGTGTTGAAACTATTCATTATCGTTCAAAACGGCTCACATGTCCCAATCTCAACTTTTGATTCATTATTTACTGATTCTCGATATAAAGATGGTGTAAGCTCGTCGTGACATACCCTGTATATTATGGTTCTAATTTTTCTGAGACAAAGGAAAGCTTTTCAAAAGGTAGTTTAACAGATATACTCTGAGACATGTTTTTCAGAATAGAATTGCAATGAACAATTTTACAAGAAACAAACGATTGAAACTAAAAAAAAAACTAAAATATTTATCTGAGGGAATTATTCATACATTTTTTGAAAAATCGAATAATTAATCAAAAACATTTTACGTGAAACAATTTCATTAAAAAATGAACCTAATCTTTCTCCAGAAAATTTTTTTTTTTGATTTTCTACAAAGGGAAAAGTTTTAAAGTACTAAGAAACTTTTTGAGAACAGTACTGTAGAAATGTCTGATAATAAATTACATGTTTTACAAAATTCAACCGAATTTGTGGAAAAGTACTGAAACTGTTTCAAGGTTGGATACAATTTTTTTTTTATCGATTGGAGCGCACGAAAGGGAATACACACACACAATACACAGAAATATTTTCCAAGAGAATTTATTTGAAATTTACAAAATGATTTATCAAAAACATTTCTTGAAATAATTTTCTCAGAAAATAAGCCGTCTCTTTTCCGACGAAATTAACGAAAAATGTCAACTCCATTATTATTTCACAACTGGAAAAGTGCCGCACTAATTTCAGAAAAAAATCACCACAAGAAGGAGAAAATGTACAGGAAATGTTTTCAAGACCGTTTTCTTAGTGAAGAACCATTGAAAAAACTAATCAGAAATATTCCTAGAAAAATGTATGGATAATTTGACGAAAAACATTCATAAAAGAAGTCCGAAAAATTTGAAAAAGAATTCCAAGAAATTTTGACGAGAAAACCAGATGATATTGACGAGAGAAATTTCAGAGATTATTGTTTTCCAATGTGAAATACTGATATTTTAGTGCATTCAAATAATAGCAATGTGTGATTCTGGCCAATCATTTGGTATTATACTGATAAAACTGCCAGTCCTTCATTAAACTTTCTTTAAAGTTCAATAAAACTATCAAAATTAATCAGATTTATATGTAACAATCAAATCAATTATCATCATAGGGAGCAAGATGTAACCATTTTAATAACCATTCAACATAACAACACAAATGTTTCAATTCCTGGAAACAGATAAAATATTGAAGACATGATGTGAGCAAAACTTGCAAATGTATGCAACACACATCACACCTACGTTTGATTAACCATAGGAAGAATATGGCAATTTAAATTCAATAGGTAAAATTAGCAATTGGCGAAAGAAATAATCTTTCCAAATACCACGAGTCCTTCGAAGAACACTTCGACAGAAAAACCTCTGGGAATAAATGTCCATAAAATTGTCAAACAAAATGTACTGACTGAATTTCTCAGTAAGAATAAAATAAACCAAGGATCAAAATTCACCAACCTTGTAAGATGGCCTGCGCCTCCGGCCTATTCAGCAGCTCCCTGCTCTGCTGCATCCCCAAATCCTGCAGCGGCGAAACGCGCATCTGCTGCTGCTGCTGCGCGTGCATCGAACCAGTCGTCGCGTTGATCAGCTTGTTCAGCATCTCCATCTGCTGCTTCTGCTGCTGCAGCTGCTGTGCCTGCTGCAGCTTCATCGCCAGATCGCCACCAACGGGCTGCTGGTGCTGGTGATGAGGGCCCAAGCGGTTGCCGGTCAAGCGGGCAGCTTCGTCCTGTTGCTGGGAGTGGTTCAACATCTGCAGAGACAATAGCCAAGTTTTTGAAGCTGAGTGACTTTATTGAAACAATGGAATTCGTATCACGAGGTCTTCTTGAAAATGTTGAATCCCAATGAGAAGCTGAGAGATTTTACCGCTAAGAGTAGATCTTGAGGAGATGCTAAGAGTAGATCTTGAGAAGCTGAGAGTTGATCTTGAGGAGAAGCTAAGAGTAGATCTTGAGAAGCAGAGATTAGATCTTGAGGCTAAGATTTGATCTTGAGCAGAAGCTGACAGATTTCAAACACCAAAACTGAATCACGAGAGGAAATTGAGAGATTCATGACGCACAAGATCGAATCTTGAGGAGAAGATATTTCAAACAACAAGACTGAATCTTGGGAAGCAGCTGGAAGATTTCAAATACCAAGTGTAAATTTCCTGGATAAGCTTGGAGATTTTAACGCTTATAGCATATCTTGAGGAGAAGGAGAGAGATTTCAAACAAAAAGATTGAATCACGATGAGAAATTGAGATATTTATGATAACCAGATTGAATCTCGAGGAGAAGCTGAGATATTTCAAACAACCAAGACTGAATCAATAGAAGAAACTGAGAGATTAGGAACTCAATCTCTAAAGGTTGAGAGATTTCCAATACCATGAGTAAAACTCCTGGGGAAGCTGAGAGATTTGAAACACCAACAAAGCATGAATTACGAGGAGTTGATATTCATCAATCAATAGAAGAAAGTGAGACATTAAAAACTCCCAAGACTGAATTTTGAGGAGAATCTGAAAGATTCCAAACACCAAGAGTCAATCCATAAAAAGCTGAGAAATTTTAAACACCAAGAATAAATCTCCTGGAGAAGCTGAGATTTGAAACACCTGCAAAGACTGAATTACGAGGAGCCTAAGATTGAATCTCTAGAAGAACCTGAGATATTTCAAACAAGACTGAATCAATAGAAGAAACTGGGTGATTGAAGACTCCCAAGACTGAATCTTGGGGAGCAGCTGGAAGAATTCAAACACCAAGAGAAAATCTTTAGAAGCTGAGAGATGTGAGAAACCAAGAGTGACTCTCGGGAAGCTGAATGATTTCTAATACCAAGAGTGAATCACAAGAGGAAGCTGTGAATGTAAATCTCGAGGAGGGGCTAGGGAATTTGGGACATCCAGAATTCCAAGAAGCTGAGAGATTTCAAACACCAAGAGTGAATTTAGATGAGATTAGTGAGTTTCGAGTAGAAGCTGAGAGAATTTGAACACCAAGTGTGAATCTCAGGAAGCTGAGAGATTCAAGAAGCACTGGGAGAAACTTTGATATTTCAGATACCAAGAGTGAAGCTTGAGAAGCGGAGAGATTTCAAACACAAGGTGTGAATCTCCCCGAGAAGATGAGATATTCAAGACGTCAAGACAAGACTTCCATTGCATCTCAACAAGTTGACGGATTCAAAGAAACTGACAGGTTTAATGGAGCTGAAGGATTCAAAGGCCGAAGATTTGAGAGGAAATCTTGAACCTTGGCAGGAAGCTAAGAGATTCAAGGTATCAAGATATTCTTCGGAAGTGGACGAGATGATACGTGTCAATTTTAGGTTTCCAGAAGCTGAGAGATAATAATAATAATAATAATAATATAAGTTTATTCAAAAACGTTTTCAAAATATACATTGGAATAAACATATAGGTAATTTGAATAAACTGGGAAAAACCTTACGAAGTTAACCTTGTAGTAAGGATAAAAAATAAATAAATGTACATAGGTCAATAAATATTTAACAATATCAAATTATCACAAGGGAAAATCGTCTCATTATGAAATGAGACAAGTATTCAATTCATAATATATAGTGTACTGAGCATCACATTCAATGCATGCCTCTGAAAAGTCTAAAGCATCAAAAACAAAGAAGACAGAATTTCATTTATACATTACTCACCTCTAGGAGACTCATGGGTTGTTTGTTCATGGGACCGTTAGAAGTAACGGGATGAACACCAGCTTGTGCTTGTGCCAACTGCAAAAATATAAATCAACATTAGTAATGACAGTATTGGTAAACATTTCTACAAAATATCGACAAGACCTAGCTGCAAACCTTCACGCAGCTACCAAGCTCGTGAAAGAGGGATCATGAATTGATGTTTTCCCCCAAAAAAAAATCAAGAGCTCACCAATTTTTTGAAAGCGGCCGCCATCTCCTCGTCCGGTTTTTGTTGAGGCTGATGCTTCTGAGTCGGCGGTTCGACGTTCTGCCGCATCTTCGATTCCAGCTCGTCCAAGCTGAGGATCTTGCCGGCGGGCGGCGGCTGTTTGCTGCCGCCCTTTTGGAGCATCTCCATGATGTTGACGGGGTGCGATTGGTGCTGGGGTTGCTGATGGTGGTTGTTGGCCCTTCAATAACGAAGAACAAGGATTAGAATTTTTTATTGTTTTTGCAAGAACGGTCGAAGAATATCCACCGAGAAAGACATGGGAACAAAAATTTCAACGAGAATTTGCTTTACATATAACGGAAGAAAAATGAAAATGATAAACCTAGAATCTCAAGACTAAGAGATTCTAGGGAAATTTCGTGAATCGATTGTCAGCTGATGCAAGACAGACTGTTTCGACTTGCCATAAGTCTCATCAGTTGCACTGGCCAGCTGACAATCGATTCACGAAGGGTACCTCCATATATCAAACAAGTCGAAGCCCTGAGGGGGCAGAAGGACGATCTAGCCTTCATAGCCATCTAGTGGCTTAAGTGCAAAGGTGTATGGTAGATTCATCAATCATACCTTGCGAGTAAGTCGTGCACATAGACCCACCCCTACGTCTATATGCTTACAGAAAAGACATCCATGTCAGATTCTGTAGACTATCGCAACACCTGTAATTCTCAAAGTGGTTTAATGTTCCACTAACAGATGGTGATAAACCTAGAATCTCAAGACTAAGAGATTCTAGGGAAATTTCGTGAATCGATTGTCAGCTGATGCAAGACAGACTGTTTCGACTTGCCATAAGTCTAATCAGTTGCACTGGCCAGCTGACAATCGATTCACGAAGGGTACCTCCATATACAGGGTGTTTCATAATTGAATGTCAATATTTGGGGAGGCGATTTTTGGGCCCATTCTAAGAAGAAAGTTTCATATGAACGTATGACCTAAACATCCTAACTTTTGAGATACAGGGTGGTAAAGTTCTCAAAAATTAATAGTTTTTTATTAATATCTGTAATACCACTTCAGATATTCTGATGAAATTTGGCATACATGGTCTATGTATCAAGATGCATCAGTAAGCGTACCACATTTTTTGTTGTTGCCACCAGTGGCGTTCGTATGGAATTTCACATACCTATTTTGGCAGACATTAATGGTACGCCACTGATTAATCTCCAAATTGAAATCATTCCTGAAATTCCCAAACATTTCTAAGCAAATTTGATCACTACAATTTTTTCAATCTGATGCACGGTTTTCGCTTAAAAATATAACAAGCTTTTTACTACATGATTATAGCAATATCGTTAATATGACAATATCACAATGCAGAGAACTAGATTTTATTTCTTAGATCAAATTTCAGAAATACAATTCATAGTTTATGAACTTCGTATTCATATTTGGTATTTTGGAATTATCACTTCTCATTGTAGTAGGCTATATTAATTTTCGAGAATTTTACCACCCTGTATCTCAAAAGTTGGGATGTTTAGGTCATATGTTCATATGAAACTTTCTTCTTAGAATGGGCCCAAGAATCGCCTCCTCGAATATTGACATTCAATTATGAAACACCCTGTATATATCTTGTTTAATATATGGAGGTACCCTTCGTGAATCGATTGTCAGCTGGCCAGTGCAACTGATGAGACTTATGGCAAGTCGAAACAGTCTGTCTTGCATCAGCTGACAATCGATTCACGAAATTTCCCTAGAGTCTTGAGATTCTAGGTTTATCACCATCTGTTAGTGGAACATTAAACCACTTTGAGAATTACAGGTGTTGCGATAGTCTACAGAATCTGACATGGATGTCTTTTCTGTAAGCATATAGACGTAGGGGTCTATATGCACGACTTACTCGCAAGGTATGATTGATGAATCTACCATACACCTTTGCACTTAAGCCACTAGATGGCTATGAAGGCTAGATCGTCCTTCTGCCCCCTCAGGGCTTCGTCTTAAAAATGAAAATGAATAAACAAGAATATTTGGAAAAACATTCAGACGAATACGTCCGGAAGAAACAAAGGATAGTGGAAGACATTTCACAGAGAAAATTCTGGGTAACAAAACCAAAGATGATTCACATATTTTAGAGGAAAATCAGAACCGGTTCACCAGAATAGTTATTTGTTTTACTAGGCAGAAAAGCACAAGATTTAATGCTTTCCTGCCAGATGAAACATATTTTTTTCTCCAAATTTATTAAAATTTCACGCAAAGTCCAAATAATCCATCATTTTGTGTTCACCCAAAGTCAATGTCAATTTTGATTACCAATTTGATTCAAATCATGACTTGTAATGTTGCATAGCGATGAATTTTCCTGCCTAGGCAGAGGAAGTACACCTTTTCTACTTGTTAGTGTCATAGAAACCCCACTTTTAATGTCATCCTGGTGAAAATCACTGAACATTTTTCGGAACAAATTTACACTTTTTGAAAAAAACAAAATGTGTTACCGAGTTAATTGTATCAAAAACAGTTACCAAAATATTTTGAAACTTCTTTCCATAGATTTCTGTAAAAACTTTATGGCTTTTTCGGTGGTTCACGGAAACTTTCAATATTGTATTTTTTGGAATTTTTCTAGACAAATTGTGAAAATTTTCTAGAAAAACGTTTAAAAAAGTGTTCTCAATTTTCTCGGAAATTTTCGCAAAAACCTAAAAGCATTCTCGCTGCCTATTGAAATATATATTGAATCATTTTCCAAAAATTGTTAAATGTAAATATACTCGGAATTGTTTTCTGGGACATTCTTTTCTTTGTGAATTCCTACATTTTAAGAATAATTCGGTAGATTCTCTCAAATCCTAGTGATATTCAATAAAAAAAATTGAATTACTTCTCGATACTTTCTATTTAATTTCATCCGGAGTTCATAAATTTATCTTTTCTGAGTAAATTCCTCAGAAATATTTTCGCCAATTTTTTTCCAAAACTTAATTTTCCCACCTCTTATTCCCGATGACGCTTCCAGTATTGGACGCCGGCGAAATCGGCGCGAAATACGCCTCCGAATCGCCGGGCATCGCGACGCCCGACGTTTCGTTCCCAATGTCCTTCAGCAGGTCCTTGATGATCGACGGTTGGTCGTCGTGCGTCGAAGACCGTCTGCTGCTGGTCTTTTCGGGGCTGTCCGGCTTGTTGAACCACCGGCTGAAACGGGACTTGGTGTTTTCTTCGTCGGTGCCGACACCGTTCTAAACGAGAGGAAAAATCACATTTTTGAAGAGGAATATGATTGTGGGCTGTCAGAAAAAACAAATGGGTACGCCCATGGAACCGCCATTTTTATTTTCTTTCGGATGGTATCGGAGAAATTTCCGATTGCTGAATTTTTGACCCCCTCAGAAAAAAAAATTGGAAGTCGCAATTTCTATTGATAGTTGAGGATATTGGAAGAAAATCCGATTTATGGTTTTTTGACCCCGTTAGAAAAAAGTTGGCACGCACCTGAAGTCGCAATTTTCTTTCATCATCAATAAATTACGTAGAAGAAAATTTAGGACTAATAATTATTTATTCTTTGACCGCCCCAGGAAAAAACTAATTTGAATGAAATTGACTCCTCCTAAAAATGGTACGCCAATTAACAATTAACTTTTCTTTTCAATGGAATTTGAGGAATTTTATATAATTTAATTGTTTGTTCCATTGAAAGACAAATAGTGCGCCTCTGAGGTAATAATTATCTTTGTTTAGTCCTCGAAAAAATTGAACTGAACGGAATTGAGATTTACTCAATCTATTCATCCCTCCAATACATGGTACGCCACTGAATTCGCAACAGTAATTTTCATTATGATGATAATTAACCAATTTCAATTTTCATTCCAGTTGAGTCAAAACGGGACTTTCTTCGTCGGTGCCGACACCGTTCTAAACAAGAGTGAAAAATCACATTTTTGAAGAGTTGTATGATTGTAGGCTGTCAGAAAAAAGAGTACTCCCATGGAACCGCCATTTTTATTCTCTTTCGGATGGTATCGGAGAGATTTTCGATTGCTGAATTTTTTACCCTCTGAAAAAAAATTGCACGCCCCTGAAGTCAAAATCTACTTTCATGAAAAGAAGCTTCCTATAATAAATCACAAACACACGAAGTTTGATCAAAATCGGCGAACAGTATTTTGAGTAATTCATGAAAAACCGATATTTCATTAATCTTTGGACACCCCGTTACTCGGAAACGGAGCAAGTTAGGACACAAGTTTATATGAACTTTGTTTGGTACTTTGTACATCACCCTTTATGTTATATCTAGGTCAAGTAGTTAAGACACCATGTATGTCCAGTACTTTACCTGTATGATTCTGTATAATGGTAGTTGCTAGTGGTATTACCCTATATAGGATAGGATTTCATTTGTTGTTATCATGACGACGTGTTGTTGAAACATAAGATTGAATCAATAAAGTTGGGAGAGAAATTGCAATCGGTTGCAATTTCCCTTTTATTCTTCATATCATATCAGTTTTTATTCAACGATCGAAATACAGTCCACACTCATCACCAAGAGCATCGAACATATTGGTCCAATCGAGCGGATTCAAGAGTTCAACAGAATTCATCATCAGCGAGAGTCGTCATTCGAGAAGGCAACATCGAGTCAATCGAAAGGCGCAAGAAGCAACAAGTTCCAGACGACGGTTGATGTAAGCAGCTGGCCAAGCATCCAGACCTGTGATACAGACACAGAGCAGACAACCGTGAGCAGCTGGTACAACAGAACATCAGGATATCGTTCCACAACAGCAAGGTCAGGTAGAATTTTGTATTGTTCTCTATTCCGGGTCAGTACGCAGTGCAATTCAACATAAGAGGTACAGTTAATAAAATACTCATTGGTTTTATTATTATTACTTACTTTCGAATACAGAACTACCTTCCATATTCCAAATAAATCAATTTTCAATTAATATTCATTATTAATCGAATAACTTGTCACAATGACAGACTTAGAAGATTTAATCATAAAATACAAGGCGATTAAAGTCCAATTAGCAAGATTTGCGAATTTCGTCGAAAATTTTACATTTGAAGAGCAGAATAACATCTTTGAATTGGAAATTCGTGTTGAGAAAATTGAAAACTCATTAAATGACTTAACGTTTTTGCATACCAGTATTCAGTTAATAGATGATACGAAAGTTTCTGACGAACAGTTTTCAGTTTTTGAAACATCTTTTTATAAATGCCTAGGTACGTCCAAACGACTAATAGCTGAACACAAATCAAAGTCAATTAATTCAAATACGAGCATATCAAATATTTCAAATAACACAAAATTACCAAATATCACACTTCCATTGTTTGACGGCGACTATAAGAAATGGACAAGTTTTAAAAACAAATTCGAATCCATTATTCATCAAGACAATAACTTATCAGATGTTCAAAAGTTACATTATTTGCAATCATGTTTGAGAGGTGATGCTGGTAAAATATTGGATCAGTTGGAAGCAACAAACGAAAATTATGAAAAAGCACGCGAGATTTTGAGGGAACGATTCGAAAACACTAGGATAATAGTGAATAACCATTTATCTGCTATTTTAGATTTGGAATGCATTCATAAGGAATCACACGTGGCATTAAGAAATTTGCTAGATTCTCTTAACCAACATTTGAATGCATTAGCATCATTAAAACAACCCATCGAAAGTTGGGATGCAATTCTAATACACATCATTTCTAAAAAATTAGATAATGTCACTAAAAGAGAATGGGAATTATCTCTTGTAGGTACCCAGTTGCCGAAATATTCCGAATTCAAAGAATTCCTTACAAAAAGATGTAACACTTTGGAAGTATTAGTTCCTGTCAATTCTAATTTAAAAAATGCAAGTCAAATCAATCACGATTTCAAGCCATATCAAAGATATCAAAAAACACAGTCAAATGCTTCATCAGTGCCAAAATGCTTATTCTGTAAAGGTCAACATAACATTTATTATTGTGAAAATTTCTTAAGATTACCTGTTTCATCTCGAATAGTTGAAATCGATAAATTAAAATTATGTAAGAATTGTTTCAACTCTAATCACTTAGTAGACACCTGTAGAACCATGAGCAGATGTAAGAAATGCAATGAAAAACATAACACGATTTTACATCATGATTGTATTCCGACAAATTCTTCAATTGAAGCAGAAGAAACTCATGAAGCTGAAGATATTTCGACAATTTCAGCTTATTCTGTTGGTAATGAAAATGAGTACATTCTATTACCAACGGCAATGGTTCAAGTTCTTGATGAGAGAGGATTTACACATCAAGCCAGAGCCATGCTAGATAGTGGTTCACAAAGCAATTTTATGAGTAGAGATTTATATTCGAAATTGAATTTACCAAAAACCAGTATCAAAATGCAGGTTACTGGAATTAATCAAGTTCATTCAAATGTCTCTGAAAAAACAGTTGCTGAGATCATATCGCAGAACAGTTCATTCAAGACAAAATTAGATTTTTTATTGTTGGATAAAATAACCACCAGATTGCCATCAATTTCTTTTCGTGCAGATACAATAAATATTCCTAAAAACATGACCTTAGCAGATCCAAATTTTCATAAAACAGGAAAAATCGATTTATTGTTAGGTTCGCAAGTGTTCTGGAATTTATTATGTCAAGAGCAAGTGAGGTTAGGAAAACACCAGCCTATTTTACAGAATACTCATTTGGGTTGGGTGGTTTCTGGTCCGTTCAGTCCTAAGTATTGTTCAAATTCATCATTCTGTCATTTTTCCACTGCTTATTCAGAAATTCACAATCAAATTGAAAGGTTTTGGTAATTAGAAGATTGTGCATCAACAAATTTGCAATACTTTAAAGAAGAATGTGAATGTGAAGAATATTTTGCAAAAACTGTTAAACACGACCAAAGTGGTAGACTTGTGGTGAATTTACCATTTCGGCATAATGTAACAGATTTAGGTGATTCACAGGACTTTGCTATCAAAAGATTTCACGCGTTAGAGAAAAAACTATCAAAAAACCCTAATTTAAAAAATCAGTACGTAGATTTCATGAATGAATATCAAATTTTAGGACACATGACAAAAATTAATAATCATGAGCAAAACACACCATGTGTTTATTTACCTCATCATGGAGTGCTCAAAACTGACAGTGTAACGACAAAACTGAGAGTCGTGTTCGATGCTTCAATGAAAACAACATCCAGTATTTCATTGAATGACACCCTCAAGGTAGGCATTTTTAAAAATCTTGGAAATGATATTTCCTTTAGGAGTTATTTACTCAACAATTCGATCGAGTGGAAATTTATTCCTCCTCGGGCATCAAATTTTGGTGGAATATGGGAGGCAGCAATAAAATCTGCTAAAGTTCATATGAAAAGAATATTATCTAAAGTACCTCTAACCTACGAAGAACTGTATACTGTACTGACTCAGGTGGAGGCAATGCTCAATTCGAGACCATTGGCACCACTTACTAGTGATCCAAATGATTTATCTGCTCTGTGTCCGAGCCACTTCCTGATTGGTGAAATGTTGACTTCTGTTCCACAAGAGGATGTAGGCGTTATACCAGAAAATCGACTCAATCACTATCAGAAGCTCCAACAGCTTGCCCAGCACTTTTGGAAACGTTTGTCGTCAGAGTACCTCTGCCACCTGCAGCAGAGAACAAAGTGGAGGCGTTTATCTGAGCAGGTGCAAGTTGGTCAGTTAGTCTTCATAAAGGAAGACTTCGTGCAGCCATTGTTTTGGAAATTGGCGCGCATCATTGAAATTCATCCCGGCATGGACGATGTTGTTCGGGTTGTGACACTGAAGACACAAGAGGGTACCTTGAAACGTCCAGTCAACAAGATATGTGTATTGCCCTTAGAAGAATGTACCACATAATTCATTGTCTGTTATATTTGTAATGTAATTATTTATTTAATATTTTGAAAGTTATAATCTTTCAAGGGGGCGGCATGTTTGGTACTTTGTACATCACCCTTTATGTTATATCTAGGTCAAGTAGTTAAGACACCATGTATGTCCAGTACTTTACCTGTATGATTCTGTATAATGGTAGTTGCTAGTGGTATTACCCTATATAGGATAGGATTTCATTTGTTGTTATCATGACGACGTGTTGTTGAAACATAAGATTGAATCAATAAAGTTGGGAGAGAAATTGCAATCGGTTGCAATTTCCCTTTTATTCTTCATATCATATCAGTTTTTATTAAACGATCGAAATACAGTCCACACTCATCACCAAGAGCATCGAACAAACTTTTTGTCATGAAATATGACAAGAAATCACCACCTGAAATTAAAATCATTCAAGATACACCCTGTTGATAGCTTTTGTTGTGCTATAGTTCCGAAAAATGAGTCAATAATACCGTATCCGAGAAAGAACTGCAAGTCCTTTTATCTTCCATTCGACTTCACGGTTACGTATATTACTAAACAACCACGAAATTCGCAATAACTTGGAATCAAATCACAGAATTAGACTGACAGAAGTGACATCAGATATATTTGATTACTTCAAAAGAATTATACATGTTGAATTCAGTTTTATATCACCCTGTTTTTGGTGATAACTTATGTCAGTTCAATTCATGTGACAATTTGTCAGAAAAATAAAAAATATAATTTTCCACATATTTTATTGAATTGTGTGCCGTTATTTGCGCTGTAATTAACATCCGGTCCTCATAGCGCGTTCAGTTAGCGTCAAAGGACCAATACCGGTGGGGAAGCGGTAAGACGTACCAAGGGAATACCACCAAAGAGGTATTCAGCGACTGTGGTTGGTAATGTAGCTTCAACTGAAGTGTCTGAAGACTACAATAGTGCCATGTACCAATCCACTTCGAAGAATGAATCCTCAGGTTTGGTGGAAAGCTCTAAAGCTGCAACGAAAACCATGTGCAGGTCTGATATAGTAATGCCTCATGCTCGGAATGAAAGTTCCAGGTATGATGAAAGGTATGAGAGGCAAACAATAGTCTCAAATAAGTCTAGCTTTAATCAACTGAGCCTAGAACTCATGGCAGTTGAACAACAGATCCGGCTCGAAGGACCAAATGTTAATTACAGCGCAAATAACGGCACACAATTCAATAAAAAATATAATTTTCCACATATTTTATTGAATTGTGTGCCGTTTTTTGCGCTGTAATTAACAATACAGATGCCTACAACGCAGGTGTCCCTACTGTCAAAAACTTAAAATTTCACGTCTATAATTTTCAGATTTCAAAATAATGTAATATCTTTTCAATATTGATTCGTCCTTCCTTCAGTCACAGAAAAAAATTGTGTATTATACACGGGAAGAATATTAGATTTAAGCTCACGGTTTTTTGTCTCCCTCCGCTAAGCGTCGGGAGACAACACAACCTGGAGCTAAAATCTACTACTTTTTTTCCTTGTATAATAAATAACTATTTCTTTCGGATTGCGATGTTTTTCATTTTTGACACCGTTAGAAAAAAGTTGGCACGCTCATTAAATGGCGATTTTCATCGCAAATTTTGCTTTCGCTCGGCTTCGCTAGACGGCGTAGCAAATGCAAAATTCGCTTGTCTAACAAAGTGTCACTTTTTATCCAAATAAAACAGTCTACTATTAAATTCCTGATTTAGCATGTTTTTACCGTCAACAGTCCAGGGATGGTGTCGCACTTGAGGAAATCGTCCAAATTGAAGCCGTGATCGGTCGCATCGGCCTTGACCTCCTCCTCCTTTTTCCTCTCGCCGACACTGTCAGACGGCTGCTTCTCCACTTTCTTTTCGGCACTGTTGCGCTTCTGGGACTGCTCCACCGATTTCCCCCCGACCTGCGGGGATGGAGTGGAACGTCCCTTCGCCTCCTGGAATAGAAACGGATACGGATTTTCATCTTTCGGATCGCACGAAAAGGAAATGGGCCTATTTCAGCGAAAATAAATAATTTTACAAGGAGGAAGGAAAGCTCAAAGTCATCTCCACAACTTTTATAATGATGTAGTTATTCAACGGGACATGTTTCGAACTTATAACAGTCCATCTTCAGCCGTATTTTAGAAATGAATGGAGGTGAACATTATTTGTTTTAAAAAAGGTGCAGATGTCTCTCATATCATAAATGATAAAAATAAATGAGATTTGGAAGGAATACACGGTTTTTCATTTAAAATGAAGGTGCCCTGAGAACGCGCACTTATAAAATCAAAAGTCCCAGAAGGGAAACTTGACGAGCACACAAGGTGCTCTTAATAACCATTTTGGTTGTAATACAGGAAAAGGGTCCCGTACCCTTCAGAGAGCGCACTTAATTACCAAAAATCAATTAAATTGATCAATTAAATTAATTTTGTGCCGAAACTATTCATTATCGCCTACATGTCCCTATCTCAACTTTCGATTTACAATCTACTGACATTTAACTGGAAGACATACAGGGTGATCAGAATTCTGAATCTTGAAGCTCCCTGTATTTTTTTCCAATTAAACTAGTAGATAGTGAATCAAAAGTTAAGATAGGGACATGTAAGCCGTTTTGGTCGATAATGAATAGTTTCGGCACAAAAAAATCCTAAAATTGAAAAATCTCGATTTTGAACACCCTATATCTCTGTAATCGTTCCTGCTAGACCTCAAGTGTGATGCATTGATGAAATCAGCTCTCCAGGAAGAATCTACAAATGCAATAAAAAATAACAAAGTTGCTAGTTGTTTCTGATAGAAGTAGCAACACTGTATCGGTGAAAATATTTTAGACGGATAAAGAATGTTCAATTATCAAAGCATCCCAATTTTCAAAATGTTCTGTCTTTTCGTTTTCCAGATACTTCTAATTGGCCATCCATCGAGGATCACCCTGTATTTTTTAACACCTCAGTGTAAATAATCGCAAGTGATATCCCGAGACCATGACAAATAGCCGACTATTATTTTCGTCCTAATTCTATCGAGAGTACCTTGTATTTTGACAATGGGCGTGTACACCTTAGTAGAACTTTCAACTCAAACCATGTTTATAATGATCCTTTTATACATAAATAATGATTGACGACATAATTCGATCGAAAAATTAACTGGAATGTTTTGTTTTTGGACATAAATAATAGTACCTTCTGAAAACGGACCCTCTTATGACGTAGAAACCTCATCTCGCCATAGTTCAAAGAAAATACCAAACGCCCGACGGAGACTGAGACAACTGATATATTAATTCCTTCAACTGTGAGCTCGCGCTAATTCACTCTGTCAGAAATCATGTATCATTCATCTCTGTCTGGAATAGTCTTGTTTCAGTATTAGAGTTTTGACGTCACATCATTGCCTCGTTTTCAGAGGTCCGAAAAATCGGGGATTTCAATAATTTTTTATAAAACGTAGGGAGCTCACAGCAAGAAACGGTTTGCGGTGGTGAGCTAGTTTGGGTGAGTTCTATCGAATTATGAAATAAACTTTTTTTGTGATATAAGCCCATTTGATAACTCCCTCGAGCTCAGATTATTAATGTTCATATGGTCGAATTGAATTGTCCCAAAATACAATTTACTCGAGATGAATTAACGAAAATAATAGTCTCCATTTGTCATGGTCGAGTGATATTCAGGAAGATTATTTCATGAACAGTGCAAAAATACTGGTTTAAAGTTTCAACATTTAATTCAAGTTACAATTCTGCAGATACTTTTTGAATAAAAATTCTTCTGAAGGCCGCCTGGAGTATTCTCATCATGTCTACGTACAATTGTAATCAATTCATCCAAAGTTAGAGCAAAGAAAGAATAATAACGCTATTGATAGCGTTAATATTCTTTGATTAGAGCTTATGTACTTTTCTTTCTTGTTTAAGGAAAATATTGCAGGCTTCGCCTTTTCGCATTATGCGCAACGCTGGCACCTTTATTGAATTCGATATATTCAAATGGATTTGTCTTACGTTTATGTTCATTGAAGTAACCTTCCTGTATACAGTGTGTCCCAAATTCGATCCTCACCATTGGGATCTCAGTAACTATGAGAGATAGAGAAACGGTTAAATTAGCAAAGTTGTAGCAAATTTAATGTTGAATCATAATCTATCGAGAAATCCGGGCTAGCTTCAGTCATTCTTGAGTTATTTGAGAAAAACTGAAATCTTGTATTTTTGTTTTTCTCGAATATCTCGGAACCTATTGATTTTATGAAAAAATGACTTCAACATTCTCATAGCACTTTTTAGTGCTCTTTTCAATGGTTTTGTCAGTTTTCCGTCAAAATGTCAAATTTCTGAGATATCACCTACAACTTCAATTTTTCTTATGGACGCCATATTGGATTTTTACAGATTTGAAATCAGCATCAAATTTCCTTTCTAGTGATGTATCACACTTACAGTTTTATTCTATTTGGGGTACTGATTTCCAATGTTTGTTTTTATGTCCAGTAGGCTATGCGCTAAGCTCTCTATAAACATTAACGATAATGTGTTCTGGCACAACTTTCATAGAGTAGGCTTGGAGCAAATGTGAGCCAAGTGACATTTCTGTAAACGTCAAGAAAAAATACAAGTCAATTATTTCGGGGCAAACAATGCCGTTCACAAATCTCGAAAAATTTGATATGTCCAATTGTTATATCAGAAATAATCGAAATAACAGAGAAACAGCTAGACAATACTTCCATTTATATCCAGAAAGACAACAACCGCATCCTTCTATTTTTCTAACATTACAAAGAAATTTGCAAGAACATGAAAGTTTCATTGCACCTAGGCCAAGGTATGGTTTGCGCTTGGATGAACAAGATATTGCAAATATCGAAGGAATCATCAATCAAACTCCTACCATTTCAATTCGAGAGCTTAGTCGGAGAACTCTTGTGCCGAAAACAACAATCCACAGACATTTAGTGAATGATAAGTACCACCCTTTCAAACAAGTGATAGTACAAGGGTTAAGACCTGGTGATAATGAACGTCGTCTCGAGTTTTGTCACTGGTTCCATAACCAGTGTGAAAGAATCGAGAACTTTCCATTGAATATCTGCTGGACCGATGAAACGAGATTTCATAATAATGGAATTTACAATAAACATAATCATCATTACTGGGCACAAAATAATCCGCATGTCATCAGAGAATCGAAGTGGCAGAACAAATTTGGTTTCAATGTTTGGTGTGGGATATTTGGTACCTTACTAGAATTTTGGTCCATGAATAACTGTTTCTCATTGTGTATTTTTTTCAGGCAGTAGACTACTAGGTCCAATAATCTACGATTATAACTTGAATGGCCCACGTTATTTAGAGCTATTGAGAAATGAAATTTCGAATTTTATAGACGAGATACCACTTGCTGAATATGAGTTAATGTGGTTTCAGCAAGATGGTGCCCCACCGCACAATACGCGATTGGTTAGGGAATATCTCGAGAATCAATTTGGTGCTAAATTAATTACTACCCATGGACCTGTGAGATGGCCTCCAAGGTCGCCTGACTGTACGCCTCTCGATTTCTACCTGTGGGGCTACGCCAAAAATAAAATTTTTGAATATCCAATTCAAGATATTGATGATCTACGAGATAGGGTGATGGACACATTCCAGAACATCAACAGAGTTCATCTGAGAAAAGCAGCGAATCATGTTCGCTCGCGAATATTAAAATGTATCGAGAACAATGGGGGCCATTTCGAGCAGTTCAATTGATTTTTTTTCAAGTATTTGTATTATTCAACTGTTATTACATTTTTTTTCTGCTATAATAGTACACATCCAATTCCATGCGATAAGTTATGCAAGAACATTGAACACAGAATTCATAGCCTACTTGACATAAAAACAAAAATTGGAAATCAGTACCCCAAATAGAACAAAACTGTGAGTGTGATACATCACTAGAAAGGAAATTTGATGCTGATTTCAAATCTGTCAAAATCCAATATGGCGTCCATAAGAAAAATTGAAGTTGTAGGTGATATCTCAGAAATTTGACATTTTGATGGAAAACTGACAAAACCATTGAAAAGAGCACTAAAAAGTGCTATGAGAATGTTGAAGTCATTTTTTCATAAAATCAATAGGTTCCGAGATATTCGAGAAAAACAAAAATACAAGATTTCAGTTTTTCTCAAATAACTCAAGAATGACTGAAGCTAGCCCGGATTTCTCGATAGATTATGATTCAACATTAAATTTGCTACAACTTTGCTAATTTAACCGTTTCTCTATCTCTCATAGTTACTGAGATCCCAATGGTGAGGATCGAATTTGGGACACACTGTATATAGTTTTCCATATCAATTTCAACTGTGTATTCCTAATATTCCTCACCATTCTCCTCACAAAATCTTTTAGGATTTGGGCAATCACGAGAGATGGGGTAGTCGCACAAAATTCATAGTTTTTCTGCAGGCAAAATAACATAAATTGTTCAAGACAAACCCTTTACTCTCCTTGTTATTTTCTGATATCGATTCGCTTACATAATTACGGATTTCCGTAGTGGAAGTTGACTAAAAACGAGACATTTCAATTTTTGAATGACTAATAGGTATGTCAAAGTTTGACAACCATAGCACTCTTATGCTGGCGAACAGAATAGCCACTCATATTGTTTGTTTACCTAAATAGCCGCTGATATCGCATATCATGTGACTTCAATCATGGCATTCCATAGGTCCAGCCAGGTGTGAATGAAATAATCATTATATAATACCACAAGTGATAATATTTTGCCAGAAATATTCGGTGATTGCTACGACAGCTTGTTGCCTAGTAATTTCGTGAATGACATTGTTATCAAAACTACGAGCCGTAGGCGAGTAGATTTGGATCAATGTCATGAGCGAAATTAGAGCAGCAAGCTGGAGTATGTCAATCGACGAATATTTCCATGTGACATGAAATAATTGAAAAAAAGATGTCGTCGCCGAGGGGCTCGAACCATCGACCTTCGTATCTTCGCGCAACAACCCTATTAGTTGCGCTACATCATCTGGTAAGTATGTAGGTCACAATAACTGATTGAAAAAGAAAAGGAATTTGAATTCTAGTATTGTTGTGTCAGACCTTCAACAAATATGCAAAACTTTTTAAATTACACATGAAACGTCCAGCCAGAATAAAATTGTCTCGCCTTTCCTACAAAATGTCTCACTAACGCGAATTATAAGTAAATAAAATAAAGTAGGTACTTAGGTTATAGTCTCAGATTTGAATCCAAAGCAATCTTGACCAGACACGATGTCAACATTTTATCGCTGATAAACAAGGTTTGTTGGTCACGTGTGGGTCAATTCGGCTTTTGTATTGGTATAGCAAATCCGATAATAGCTATTTGTGTATTTAGAGCGCAAAGTGATAGATTGCCGCCCGACAAAGAAAGTTACCGCGCGATGTGGAGCGGAGCGCGGTAATCTTTGGAGAGCGGCAATAACACTTTGTGATGGAAATACACACAAGATTTTTTCTAATAACGCAGCTTTTGGAAATAACTGCCCTGAAAGTATGAGCGATTGAAATAGTTGAAAAAGTTCTTATCCATATTATCCCATATGTCCAAAGGAAACAAAAAAAAGAAAATTCTAAATAACTGACAAGCCAGCAAAAAAAAATTGGGCCTACCGAGAATTGAAACTGGACCACCAGCGTGGCAACCTGAACTTCAGACCTCTGAGCCATAGTACGATAAACTATGCAATCAAATTGAACATTACTCATTGATGCAATAAAATAAAGATACACTGTCTTTCTGATGACAACAAAGAGTTTAAATATAAAGTATAATTCATTGTTTTCAACAGATATGCTTTATCCGGAGCTTCTTGTAGAAATTTGTTGGTATATATCTTCAGCGGTGAATGTTTTTGATTTTTCTCACTTTATATCCGATAGATTGTTTCTTGAGAAATGCAATAAGTTTCAGATACTTATTGATTCTGATATTATCTTTAACATTCAAGCATATACCGGGTGACACAGGTTATCGGGCCACCCCTGTAACTTCTGCATTCGTCAACGGATTTTTCTGAAATTCGGTACAGTTATATAAGCAACTATTTCGGATTTGATCACATTACAATCCAATATGGCGGACTTCCGGTATTTCTGGAAATGCCAGCAACTTTGTTTTTTCAAATGGAACACCCTGTATATTTTCACATATTCAAGTTCGACAGGTCAAAACAAGTGCAATCTTGATGTCAAATGTCATTTATTCCACAGCTAACCTAGTTGAAAAATTATTCTAACTGCAAGGAAATTCATAAACTAGTTGTTGATTTTTGAATGTATACAATTTGTTACTACACCGAAAAACAAAAATGATATGTCATTTTGTTCCTTAATGTATGTTCTAGAGAGACGGGTAGGTGGCCCATAGGGGTTCCATTTGAAAAAAAATAATTTTTGATCAAAAAGTGATGTGGCTGAATTGATTGCTGGATAAGTGACACAAAAAATGATTTTTCAGAAAAAATTATGTTCTTCTGTTATGTGTGACTCATTGTGAATAGTCTTGACCACATCTCATTTATCCACGAGGTGAAATAAAAAAACAATTGTAATTTGAATTTTTTCGAAAAAATGACATTTGAAATAGAGATTGCACTTGTTTCGACCTGTTGAACTTGAATATGTAAAAATATACAGGGTAATTCATTTGAAAAAACAAAGTTGCTGGCATTTCCAGAAATACCGGAAGTCCGCCATATTGGATTGTAATGTGATCAAATCCGAAATAATTGCTTATATAACTATACCGAATTTCAGAAAAATCCGTTGACGAATGCAGAAGTTACAGGGGTGGCCCGATACCCTGTGTCACCCGGTATACGTACCATTGAATATATAGACCAATGAGTTGATGACTTCAAAGACTTTGATTTTTTACCAAAATAAGCCAGTAAAACGTTTTCTGAATACATATTCACCATCTCGGAGTGGCACCAATTATTTATGAATGTATCATATTGTAATTCATATTTCTTCCTTGATTTCTCCGGTAAGAGATGCAAACTCTTGTGCTTTCTGCTATATCGGGAGGTGTGTTTGATGATTCACTGTCCCTATTTTCCATCATGGAAGAATTGGGGGATTTCAAGAATAGATAAGTATAGGTTACAGAGATGTGCCAGCGTTTTTTCAATATTTCCGCTGACGAGCGCAAATGCTGTCAAAGAATGACATTTCTGGGAAAACGTCAAATTTGTGCTGGAATTTGAAAGCGTCAAAGGCTAACTTTGTTAAGCGTTTGTAGAAAAAATTTAATACACAAAAAATATCGCTAGAATACAGAAGAAACCGTGAAAATGGTCGATTCTGATTGGTTCTCGAGATCGAGAGTGGAATAGTCAAGGATTATTACCTTGGGTTCCTCTTTTTCGTCGGTGGGTTTTTGCGTGGGCTCGTTCTTCTTCTTCGACCACTCTTTGGCCCGTCTGACTCGAGACGGAGACAGCTTCTTTTTGCCGTCGTCGAAGCCGCGAAGTTCGATGGTGTCATTTTGGGAAGTGGGGCCACAAGAAAACCTGGAATACCGAAATGAGCGAGGAAAAATTAAAATTGAATCGGGTTTGGCGAGATGGAATTTCGAAATTCGGACTTTTCCGCTTTGAGGTCCCCTTTGGGGAAAAATGGGTACGATCCTGAAGACAATTTTTCATCGAAACCCTTTCGAAAAAAAGTGGCACGACCCTGTAATTTCCCTCCAGTGGTGTCGAAAGTTCGAACCCTCGGAAAAAAATATTGTCTACACCTCTGAAGTCGCACCTCTTTAATTTCATTCGGATCTTTGTGAAAAAAAAATTAAATTCAAATGTTTCATTTATGAACCACCTCAAAATAAAATTGGTACGCTCTCGAAGTCGCAATTTTATATTTTGATTCAGTAAACGTGAACATAAATACATTTGATGTTCTTATATCTATACAGGGTGATCCACGGTGGATCAGTATCTGGAGAACGAAAAGACAGAACATTCTGAAAGTTGGGATGCTTTGGTAATTGAACATTCTCTATTCATCTAAAATATTTCCATCGATACAGTGTTGCCACTTTTATCAGGAACAACTAGCAACTTCGTTACTTTAAATGGAGCACCCTGTATTTTATTGCATTCTGAGATTCTTCTTGAAGAGCAGATTCCATCAATGCATCAAACTTGTGGTCTGGCAGGAATGATTACAGAGATATAGGGTGTTCAAAATCGAGATTTTTCAGTTTCAAGTTTTTTTTGTGACGAAACTATTCAATATCGGTCAAAACGGCTTACATATCCCTACCTTAACTTTCGATTCACTATCTACTGACATTTAATTGGAACATATACAAGGTGATCAGAATTCTGAATCTTGAAGCACCCTGTATTTTTTCCAATTAAATTCCGGTAGATAGTGAATCAAAAGTTAAGATAGGGGCATGTAAGACGGTTTGTCCTATATTGAATAGTTACAACACAAAAAAATCCTAAAATTAAAAAAATCTATAATTTGAACACCCTATATCTCTGTAATCATTCCTGCTAGACCCCAAGTGTGATGCATTGATGAAATCAGCTCTTCAGGAAAAATCTAGAAATGAAATAAAATACAGGGTGTTCCATTTGAAATAACAAAGTTGCTAGTTGTTTCTGATAGAAGTGGCAACACTGTTTCGATGAAAATATTTTTGAGGGATAGAGAATGTTCAATTATCAAAGTATCCTGATTTTCAGAATGTTCTGTCTTTTCGTTCTCCAGATAATTTTAATGGGACAACCACCGTGGATCACCCTGTATATGTTGATAGCAGGGAAAATTAGGAAAGATCAACTGGAAAAAAAAAAATTAGATAATCAAATAATCATTTTGGAATCATATACATAGTACACATAATGTTGTTTCTTCCAAAGACTGTTGAAGATAATTGCTTGAATTGATTAAGGATGAAATAAGAGAATCAAAGACAATTATTCTTTCAGTTCTTTTTTGAATTTCTCCACACTTAATTTTTTCTTCACTCTGGCAGGTAATTCATTACTTTGGACACCTGAAAAAACGGCATGCCTCTTTTTGCAGGAAGTACCATCAAAGATTTTTTTACCCCCTCAGAAAAAAAAGTTAGAGTACGCCCATAAAAACAAAAAAAATTCATATCTCCATCACCCACCATTCCGGTTCCTCCTGTTCCCGATCGGAAATTCTCCTCCTGTCGTACCGGCTATTCCTCCTTCCACCACCCTCCTTACTATTACTCTCCCCCCTGTCCCTCCCAAAGTCCCTGTCGAACATCCGCCGCTGCTCGTACTTATCCTCGCCGCCTCCTCGATGGTCGTTGATGCCGCGGCCTTCGCGATGTTGCTGCTGCCCCGAGCGGAAACCGTACTCGGCACCGTCTCCGCCGTTCTCCGTTTTGTCACTGCCGCCGCCAAAGTCCCACGAGTCGCGCATTATGCGGCCGCTGCCGATGCGGCGCGTGTTCGTCGTCTGGATTTCTCTTATGCCTAAGGATATTATGTAGCATCATGAACTGTTACTACAATTTATTGAAGAGTACTGTCAAAATCTGGTTTTGTAAACTGTTACTACGATTTCGAGTACAATTTATTGAAGAGAACTGTCGAAAATCTGGTTTCATGAACTGTTACTACAATTTATTGAAGAATACTGTCAACAGTCTGGTTTTATAAACTGTTACTACAATGTATTGAAGAGTACGGTCAACAATCTGGTTTCATGAACTGTTACTAGTACTGTCAATAAGCTGGTTTTATGAACTGTTACTACAAGTTATTGAAGAATACTGTCAATAACCTGGTTTTATGAACTGTTACTACAATTTATTGAAGAGTACTGTCAAAAATCTGGTTTTATGGAGTGTTACTACAAATAATTGGAGAGTACTGTCAAAAACCTGGTTTAATAAATAATGAAAAAATTCCAATATCTACCTCCTATCCCTATCCTCCCTAAGAACGCACATTGTTCCCTTTCGTGCGCTCCAAGCGATAAAAAAAATGAAGAGGTACTTCAATCTATTAAAGAGTACTATCAAAAATCTGATTTACTGAAGTGTTACTACAATTTATTGAAAAGTACTGTCAAAAATGTTGGTTTCATGTACTGTTACAAAAATCCATCAGAGAGTACTGTCAATAATATGGTTTCATGAGGTGTTACTACAATTCATCAAAGAATACTGGCAATAATCTGGTTTTGTGAACTATTACTACAATTTATTGAAGAACTATGATATATTGTCAAGTAGTACAAATGCCTATGAATTAACATCACTCAAACTCTCGTTGATTTCAAGATCTTTTATCATAAATTATCTTTTCCAAATTAAAACATTCAGTACATTGTAGTTTTGATCAGGTCAGGAGTTCATAGACGTCAGTTCCTTTATAATTTGCATATAAACCGCTTACCGCGCGATAATACCTAGGTAAGCAGTATCGAAAGGTAACGGCCATTCCCATTTCGGAAAATTGCGAACCTAGCATCGATTCCGAATATAAATAGTACCCGAGTCGATGAGGCAATCATTCATTATCAACACAAGTCATTAGTAATTACCAATTGAAAATGTTCGTCGTCTCCCCGACTTCGTGCCTGCTGATCCAGTCCCCTGCTAGACATTACAATGTGAGTACTGTTTTTTTCAAGTGTTGTTTTGCGTTGTGTTTATTTGGCAAGCCATTATGTTCTTTTTCCTTTGCCAACCTGGCATCTGGCAGCATTTATTCATGACCTCTTCATTTAATCAATAAATATTAACTTTATATGAAAACTGTACGGTCTCTTTATTTGGGGATGAATATGGTTGGGTGGTGAAATTATCAAAACGTCTCGTCAAAAAGCCAAGCGAGTAGCTAAGTCACGACCTATAGGAGGGTCAACATCTGAGTTGCGACACGTGGTGGAGGCGCTGACAAATAACCGGAGACCGGACAGTTTTCATATAAAGTCAACATTTACTGATTGAATGAAGAGGTCATGAATAAATGCTGCCACATGGCAGGTTAGCAAAGGAAAAAGAACATAATGGCTTGCCAAATAAACACAACGCAAAACAACACTTGAAGAAAACAGTACTCACATTATAACGTCTAGCAGGGGGTTGACCAGCAGACTTGAAATCGGGGAGACGACGAACATTTTCAATTGATACTTACTAATGATTTGTGTTGATAATGAATGATTGCCTCATCGACTCGGGTACTATTTATATTCGGAATCGATGCTGGGTTCGCAATTTTCCGCAATGGAATGGTCGTTACCTTTCAATACTGCTTACTTAGGTATTATCGCGCGGTTAGCGGTTTTTTTGCAAATTATAAAAGAATTGACGTCTTTGAACTCCGCTGACCTGATCGGAACTTGAATGTACTGAATGTTTCAATTTGGAAAAGGTAATTTATGATAAAAGGTCTTGAAATGAACGAGAGTCTGACTGATGTCAATTCATAGGCATTTGTACTTCTTGACAATATTGAAGAAAAAATATGGTCTTATGAACTGTTACTACAATCATCCAAGTCAAAAGGTAAGTAAGTAGCAACAAACAAATCCCCCATGTTCACTCATTTCATTATATTTCCTTTTTTTTGTTGATCAATATTCAATGGCCTGAAGTCAAATCTACTAATTATATTGATTTCAATGTACGCGCGTTTTCCAATCACAGAGTGTCCTTCAATAAGCCACTAATGATGGTTCCATGGGCATATTCCCCACCTCAATTGAAGTACCATGAGTACATGAGAATGATCTATCTCTCTCTCGCAAAACTAATGGGGCCTGAACTAGGTCAGTTTTTCGCCGGCATTCTCAAAATTATAAAAATCGCAATATTGTCTAATCAGTTCATGTGTTCTGGACTTTAATCCCTCTGTGAACGAACTCGAGTGGAATTCCAACCCCTGAGGAGGTCTACGACGGTACCGTCTCCAAGATATCGACCATTCGGCGTGTTGAAGAAGACATCATCGGTAAGTGGCCATGTTAGAACGCTCTGTGATTTGACGAATTTATCTGATGACAATTTCCAAAATACAGTCCACTTTAATTATAGACAAAACACCCCACCTCCTCCAATACTCACCCAAATGCGACCCATCGCCCTTGCCGCCCAACGGACTGTGCGACCTCCCGCCCCTTCCACCTGCCCCGCCCACACCTCCAGACTCCGCCCCTCTACCCCCACCACCACCACCACCCCCACCGCTCGAAGAGGCCGGCACGAAGCAGCCGGTGTTGAAGCTGCGCCGCTGCGGACTCAGCACGATGCCGTCGTTCTCTTTGCGCACGCGCTCACGAGGATCGGCCGGCACGCCCGTGGGGCGGCGGCGGTGTTCCGGGGGCGGGGCCACGTCGGGACGTAGGCTGGTCTCGCCGCTGGACGATTCGGATTTCTTGCGGTCGAAGGGCCAGCGTTCGGGGTCCAGGATGGCGGGTGATCTGGGAATGAGAAATGGGGGGGTTTTCTAATGTTTTGGTAGTCTTGAAAAGGAATATTCTCAGATATAATTATTAGAGTCACTGGATGGTATTAGTTATATAAGAGTTCGGACACAGAAATGACAACTGTTAGTGTTTTTGAATGTTTAGATTTATTATGTTGCACACCTTGCATTGCGACAGAAGCATTATAGTCGTTCCGCGCTTTTTCATTCAAAATTGTTCATTACATTGTACATTATTTTGAAATCTGAGAATTATCGACGTGACATTTTAAGTTCTTAACAGTAGGGACACCTGAGTTGTAGGCATCTTTATCATTCTTTTGAAGTAATCAAATATATAATGTCACTTCTGTCAGTCTAATTCTGTGATTTGATTTCGAAAATTGCGAATTTAGTGGTTGTTAAGTAATATACGTATCCGCGAAGTCGAATAGATGATAAAAGGACTTGCAGTTCTTTCTCGGAGACGGTATTATTGACTTATTTTTCGGAACTATAGCACAAGAGCCATCAACAGTGTATACAGGCTGATTCACGGTGGATGGCACATTAGACGTTTCTGGTGAACCAGACAACGGATCATTTTGAAAATCCGATGGAGGGCATATTCAGACATTCTCTAGCCAACTAAAATATTTTCGACAATGCGGTGTTGCCGCTTCTATTAGAAAGCAGTAGCAACTTTGATTTTTCAAATGGAACACTCTGTATTTTATTGCATTTTTAGATTCTCCCTGAAGAGCTGATTTCATCGATGTATCACACTTAGGGTCTAGCGGAAATGATTACAGAGATATAGGGTGTGAAAAATCGACATTTTTCAACTTTAGGATTTTTTTGTGTCGAAACTATTCATCATTGGTCAAAACGGCTTACATGTCCCTATCTCAACTTTTGATTAACTATCTACTGATATTTAATTGGGACATATACCGGGTGATCAAGATTCTGAATTCTGCACCACCCTGTATTTGTTTTAATTAAATGTTAGTAGATAGTTGATCAAAAGTTGAGATAGGGACATGTGAGCCGTTTCGACCAATAATGAATAGTTTCGACAAAAAAAATTCCTAAAGTTGAAAAATGTCGATTTTTCACACCCTATATCTCTGTAATCATTTCCGCTAGACCCCAAGTGTGCTACATCGATGAAATCTGCTCTTCAAGAAGAATCTAAAAATGCAATGAAATACAGAGTGTTCCATTTGAAAAATCAAAGTTGCTACTGCTTTCTAATAGAAGCGGCAACACCGCATTGTCGAAAATATTTTAGTTGGCTAGAGAATGTCCGAATATTACCTCCATTAAATTTTCAAAATGATCCGTTGTCTGGTTCACCAGAAACGTCTAATGTGCCATCCACCGTGAATCAGCCTGTATATATATGTGAAATATATCCGGGAAAAAAGTACTCACTTTTTTCCCACGGGAAAAAAGTAATTTATGAAAAGTGATATTTTATAACCTGCCAACAGAGATGAAATGCCAAACTTTTTTCCCGTCACAGAAAAAAGTACTATTATCATTAATTAAAATATGTTGAAAATTTTTGATAGTCATCAAAAGTCACTGGAAAATTTAGGATTTTGACATCACTTACACTTCAGAGGGATCGAAAAAATCCGGTTTTCTCTTAGAGAGAGGAGCTTCGCGCAGCTTCATCAACTCATCCTTGGTGTACTGGATCTTGGCCGTTTCCCTAACAAACAAGATGGCCGGGTCGCTGAACTCCGGCATCGCAGCCTCCTCCGATACGCTCATGCCTTCCATCTGTTCATCTCCTAAAAACGAAAAAAATCATCGACAAACATAAAAAAATGTAGTAGTAATATGCAAAGCTTAATATGAAAAATAGTGTGGAACTGGCTTAAAAAGCCTCTCTCTATCCTCCCTAGGTACGCACGATGTTCCACGAACATTATCGAGAACATTATAGGAATTTTCTTTCGTGCGCTCCAAGGGATAACGAAAAATTATTGTTGAATATTCAGAAATGGATGATTTCTTGTAAGTTTGCTCGATTGCCGCCCATAAAGTTTAAATACAAACATCTCACATAGTATACATATAATACGCGAACCTTGTCATTTTTTGACGTTTGTAGAAAAAAATTCAAGTGCAAAAATGCAGTTTGCAGTTTTGGTAAATCACCAAGAATATTTTACTGCAAAAAAAAACAGTTTTACTTCGATTCGAATGCCAAAATCATGCCAGTAAAAATATAAAAGTGGTGTGGGATGATGGATGAATAAGATTTCCATTTCAAATTTTCCAGTGAAATTACTGATCCGTGATTCATTAGAATAAAAAGAATAATCAAGTAGAAGAAGCTCTGGTGGTTTTACCGTTGACAATTTAATTCATGTATCAAAAATCCATAAGCAGCTGTGGTTTCGTCATTATGACAGCGAAACAAATTCGTCCTAACTTTCCAGAGGCAAAACCATCTGAAATGGGGAAGTTTCCTCCAGATGAATTTTTATAAAATAAGTTCGGTAGTCCTCAGTTTTATGTCCAAGCTTTACAGAAAGGCGATCTATACAGTCCAAGTCGTTTTTATTTCCAAAATAAAACAATTTCTGATTTTCTGGGCGGTAAACTGTGGCGTAAATTCTGAATCTAGTCTGAATATAGCAGTAGATGAAGAATATAGCTAGCGATTGGCTAACGAATGAAGAACGAATCAATAACAAACAAAAAAATAGAAGAAGAAAACTTTGCATCGTTATTGATTATATCATAAAAAATTAAAAACTATCAAAACAACTCTAGACTGGCTAACAAATAACTGCAGATAAAAAATTAAGACAAGTAAAACTGATAAACAAAAACATACATAACCACAAAATCAGAACAGCTCTCGCGGTGTGCCTTTCAGTATTTTTGTGTGGTGTGGACGGGCATCAACTTCATCCAGCAAATGAGAGATTTATGAAAATAATTCATTATGCCCGACAAAGTAGGAACACCCTGTATCTCCCGAACCAGCAACATTCTCAACAGGCATATTGGGCTTAATCTCATTATTTTTGTGTTTACTATCTGTAGTTTAGAGATTTCCCGTTCTCAATGAATCACCCTGTATATACATTTTTGAACAAGGGGATGATGAATATCAGTCTTACTAAGTTTGATGAGCCACATTATGTCTAAATAAATTTTAAACAATTTATAAATGAGTTGACTGATAGACTCTAAGTGTGATGTATCGATGAAATCAGCTCTTCAGGAAGAATCTATAAGAATGCAATAAAATACAGGGTATTCTATCAGGAATAACGAAGTTGTTGCTTCTTTACGATAGAAGCGGCAACAATGCATTGTTGAAAATATTTCAAATGAAGAGAGCATATTCTAAAATATGAGCATGCATATTTTAAAATATGAGCATGCATATTTTCATGAATTTCTCCCGACTGATTCTTGATATAGAAATATTGTAAGCTCGTCGTGACATGCCCTGTATAGTAAATCAGACATAATAATCGTTAAAGTAAAACTTGGAAAATCCATGGCCCACTATAACCAAAATTCATCATGGTCTGATGTTTTAGTGCTTTTAAGGATTTCTGGAAATCCCATGAACAAAGTTTTATTCGTCATTTTGAATGAAAACAAATAACGGATTCAACTAAATAATAAAATACATGTATCTCCAAAATCAAAACCCCTAAAAAAATTGAGTACGCCACTGGATTCTTTGCAAAATTCTGTTAGACGTAGTAACTCAGCACAACCTTATTACTGATAACGTCGTAGAGAAGCCTGGCAGTCTAAACCAAAATGTACATTTAAATCTGAAACACCCTGTATGTCTTCTTGTGCATTTTACATTCCTCGAGAAATTTGCTAGATTTTTTCGCTACTTCTGACTGTTAAACTCTTTCAAATCACAAGAGATTTTTGTAAAAATTATATTTTTAGCCTGTGTTTAATTTTTTCAAATCGTTAGACTTTGGAAAATAATAGTGCCAGTATCCGTGTTCAATTCTTCATCTTATATCTTGTGTACTATATATATTGTATAATTTCATTATCGTCATTAGTCATAGATTCATCATTTGTTCGGAAATTTATCAGTTAGCAGCATGATTCAACCTATTAGTCATTCATTCGAGACCAGGTGGTGAATCAAGACAGTCTTATATTAGATGTCATCACGAACGGTCGAATTTTGTGATCGCAATTGAAAAATTCTCGAAAGGAATTATTTATCGTTGCGAACGGAGTGTTCACTTAAAAATGAGAACAAGTGTAGTGTTTTAGTATCCCTAATTCAATTCAGTGATTACATTATCGCGATCGTGTGCTGTTGTGGTGTTTCGTGTTGTTTCATCAAAGCTTCGCATTTTTCACGCTGGTAAGTGAATAGAGTTTCTCTGATTTTCCTCATATTTCCCTGTTTATATTTAACTTGATTACCTTATGTTTTCAAAATGAGAAACGTCTGTTCGTTGAACGTTGAAAACTTTCAAGATAATAATTCGAAACGAGCAAACCAGAAGAAAATAAGACGATTCGAAATTTTTTCATGGAAAAATACCTTTTTCCTATACAGGGTGTTTCAGATTTGAATGTACATACCTGTAGATAGAGGAAACTCTGGTGGTTCCAATCACTCCCTAATATGGATGTGTCTCCCATCTTTTACTCGACCTTTTATAATCATTATAGTAAACAGGGTACGTCACGACGAGCTTACACTATCGTTATAACAAGAATCAGTCGGGAGTAATCCATGAAAATGTGCATGCTTATATTTTAGAATACACTCCCTTCATTTAAAATATTTTCGACAATGCAGTGTTGCCGATTCTACTAGAAAGTAGGAGCAACATTGATATTTCAAATAGAACACCCTGTATTTTATCGCATTATTATATTCTTCCTGAAGAGCTGATTTTATGAATGTATCACACTTGGGGTCTATCGAAATAGATTACAGAGATATACGGGTCGATTCTGTTCGGACCTTGTTATAACATTGCTAAGATAACAATATTGTTATGAACATAATATATAACAATATTGCTATGAAGTTCTGTATTCAGTTTGCAGAGTAACTGCAAGATTGGTTATAAGTTCAAGTGATAGCAATATTGTTGAAAAATTGAGAATTTTTGAGCTGACAACACTGTTTTCAACTCATTTCTTAAGTGTTAGGTATCGATTTTGCAATTTTTTCATGAAGAAGAAGAGTTCATGATTATCTAACCTCTCAAATTAGTCAGTCCTGCACTGATGACTAACACTTTACAAAATTATATTGTTCAAATTGAGAGATTCTGTATCCGATGAATCTGGTCGTCGTTGTGCGACTGGTGCAAGTAATCAATCATGTCCCCGAAATGAGAAAACAACCTAAAAGCCGGATGAAAATGATAGTGATTTTTTTTCGAATATTCTAGCAAAATAGCTTGATAAACTATCCATCAGGCAACTGAAATGGTTTTCTGGTTTCTCTGATAAGCCGAAATTGTAGTCTCATATTCCCTCTACAAATTGGAACTTCAAGAAAAGGTTTTCAAGTAGTTGGTCACAGTAGTGAACCTATCCTATATGTTTGTAACCACCATTCTAAGTTTTTCAATAATTCTTCTACAAATTTTTCTACAAGGTCTTCTAGTAGTCAGTGACATAAGTGAACTCACATATGTTTTTAATTCACTATTTTCTGATTTTTCATACACTTGGAAGAATGTGTAGTGCAAAAACAAAGAATCCATGAACTCACATATGTTTTTAATTCACTATTTTCTGAATTTTCATACACTTGGAAGAATGTGTAGTGCAGAAACAAAGAATCCACTACCTTGTTATAAGATAGCAAGCACACAATTGATGTTGCCGAGATAGCAAGCAAGCTGACCAGATGTCATTGAAATTGACAGATCAAATTGCCAAAAATCGATGATTAGAATTCCACTTTTTCGAATCTTGCTATGATAGCAATATCTTCTCTTAAACCATATTGCTATTTGCAAACAGAATCGACCCGATAGGGTGTTCAAAATCGAGATTTTACAACTATAGGATTTTTTTATGTCAAAACTATTCATTATCTGTCAAAACGGCTTACATGTCCCTATCTCAACTTTTGATCTACTATTAACTGATATTTGATCGGAACAGGAACAAGATAGTTCAAGATTCAGAATTCTGATCACCCTGTATGTGTTCCGATTAAATATCAGTAAATATTGAATAAAAAGTTTAGATAGGGACATGTGAGCCCTTTTGGCCGATAATGAATAGTTTCGACACAAACAAATCATTGAAATATCTTGATTTTGAACACCCTTTATCTCTGTAATCATTTCCGATAGACCCCAAGTTTGATGTATATATCGATGAAAACAGCTCTTCAGGGAGAATCTAAAAATGTAATGGAATACAGGGTATTCTATTTGAAATAACAAAGCTGTTGATATTTTTTTATATGTACAAGGTATGTCACGACGAGCTTACACTATATTTATATCGAGAATACGCTCTTTTCTTTCAAAATATTTCAGACAATGCAGTGTTGCCGCGTCTACTAGAAAGTAGTAGTAACATTGATATTTCAAATGGAACACCCTGTATTTCATCGCATTTTTAGATTCTCCCTGAAGAGCTGATTTCATCGATGTATCACACTTGGGGTCTATCGAAAATGATTACAGAGATATAGGGTGTTCAAAATCGAGATTTTTCAACTTGAGGATTTTTTTGTATCGAAACTATTTATTATAGGTCAAAACGGCTCACATGTCCCTATCTCAATTTTTGATTCACTATT